AACCTGGTGGTTGGAGACAGAAGCTCCAGTAGTTTTTGTGGTTGTACCCTTATGACATAAGAAATACATATTTGGTGTCTGCCCCCAGTTCCTGATACAGAGCTCCAAAACCACTTGGAATTTCCTAGGCGACGGGAATATCATTCATTCTAAGGAGGGGACTCTGGAGTGGACTCCAAGGGAGTCCAAGGAGTGGACTCCCTGATGGCTTATGAATGAGGGCTGGTCATGAGAAAGACCAGCCAGGACTAGAAGCTTGGAACTTTCAGCCCCTCTACCCACTCTCTGTTCTGATGAAGGAGAAGGGCTAGAGATTGGGTTAATTCATCCATCACAATTGCATGAGGAAGCCTCCACAAAACCCCCTAAAGTACAGGGTTCAGAAAGATTTCAGGTTGGCAGGCACATCCATGAGCTGAGAGTAGAGCATACCGCAATTCCAAGGGGACAGAAGCTCCTGGGCTCAGGGCCCCTCCAGACCTCATATCATATATCCCTTCACCTGGCTGTACACCTGTATCCTTGACCACGTTCCTCATTAAATAATAAACCAATAAACATAAGCATCTGAGTTCTGTGAGACGTTATAGCAAATAATCTACCCTACAGAGGGGGCAGTGGGAAACTGGAGACCTAGTTGTGACTGGCACCCAAAGTGGGGCAGTTTTGTGGGACTGAGTCCTTAACATGTTGCATATGATGCTAACTCTGGGCAGACAGAGTCAGAATTGAGTTGAATTGTAGGACATCCAGCTAGTATCTGAAGGAACAGGAAGGAGCAGGGCAGCTTGAGGCCAGAAAGCAGCCCAGACACACAAGTCAACTGGTCCAAGGACAAGAACAGGCAAGAGGTAGGCTGTCAGGGTTTTCCCAAAGGAGAAGTTCATGTTTGGGATTTATTTTTAGTTTTTTAATTAAGTAAATAAATAAGCAAACACTACATTTAATTCATTTATTTATTAAGATCTATGCTCAACATGGGGCTTAAACTCACAATCCAGAGATCACGAGTCACATGCTCTACTGACCGAGATAGGCAGGTGCCCTTAGGTTTGGAATTTATTTTTAAGATTTATTTATTTATTTTAGGGAGAGATAGGGTGAGGGGAGGGGGGCAGAGAGAGAAGGAGAGAGAGAGAAAGTAAGAATCCTCAGGCCAACTTCCTGCTGAGCGTGGGGTCCCACAGTGTTCCGTCCCAGGACTATGAGATCATGACCTGATCATGGTGTGGATACATTGAAAGTCTAACCGACCGAGCCACCCAGATGCCCCTGTTTGGAATTTATTTTAAAATATGAGGCAACACCAGAGGATTTTATGCAAAAGCTCTGTACAATTAGACTTATTTTAATAAGTCTAAAATGAATAATGGAGTGGAGAAGGAGAAGGAGAACACAGGGAGATGAATCAAGAGACTACTGAAACATCTGAGGGAGAAGTGTCAGTCCCTGGAAAAAAGATGGTGGCAGGGTAGACCATACCAAATAGATACTGCTGTGCTAGATCTCAAAGGACTCAGTAACAGATCCAATTTGAAAGTGAGGGAAAGAAGGTGATTTAGATCAGTGGTTCTCAAGTTTTCATGGCACCTGGGACATTTGTTAAAAATATAAGTTGCTGGGGGACATCCAGAGCTGCTGGTTCTGTGGGTCTGAGGTACAGAACTGCTGCCACCTGAGTTTTAAATTAGCAGCCCTGGCAATTCACACACTGATGGGTCTCCTACACATTTTGGGACGCGCTCATTTCAACAACTCCCAACCTTCTGGCTTACATCAGACCTTGGGTGAAACTAGGACGGGGACATCATTTATGGGAAAAGAGAACAATGTGGGAAATGGAAAGCAGTAAGGGTGGACACTCCTCACAGCCCACACGGGTTAGAGGGACAAAGACAGACTCCGCTGGGCACTAGTGGTGGCTAGTACTGGATTACTTCCGTAGGGCTGCCTGAAGGCTCTGACAGAAGCAGTCGAGTGTGTCTCCTATGAAACGTGATTTCATGTGGAACGCCACGAGGCTGAGGCCTCCACGCATGTCAGAAGCCTATGATGACCATGATGCTGGCGCTGGCTGCCTCTCCAAGTGTACCCTCTCCCTGCCCAAATCACTCAGCCCCAGCCATACAGTCTTTTCCATTTTGATACCAACTTGGCTTGCTCCCTCACTATGCTCAGATCTCTGCTAAACTACCTAAAATACTAACTTCCTTTCTTAAAAATTTATTAAATAGACTTTATCTTTTAAGGCAGTTTTTAGGTTCATGGCAAAAACTGAGAAGGTACATAGATTTCCCATATCCCTTTCTTTCTTAGCAACTCCTTACTTTCTGGTGCTTGTAAGGTATCCAAGGCTCATCTTGTATGCTCCATGCCCCAGTCCTGGAATCAGCCATTTCTTCAAGAAGGCTGTTTCTTTTTGTTTGTTTGTTTTAATTGCAGAAGGTGTTAAAAGCCAAGATCTGGGAGGCACCTGAGTGGCTCAGTCAGTTAAGCATCCAACTCCTGATTTGGGCTCAGGTCATGACCTCAGGGTCCTGTGACTGAACCCTACCGGGGGCTCTGTGGTCAGCGCTGAGTCTGCTTGAGATTCTCTTTCCCTCTCCCTCTGACCCCACACCTGGCATGTGCACTCGCTCTCTCTCAATAAATATATAAAATCTTAAAAAAAAAAAAGAAGAAGAAGAAGCCAAGATCTGTGTGCTGGGTTTTTGCTGCTGCTGGAGAGTCACTGCCTCTATGCCTTCCCAGCCTATGGCAAGGAGACAGGTGTGTGTACACCCGCCCATGTACACACACATGTCTACAGACATTTCTAGATGGAGCCACCAGTGTATGTATTAAGCTGAACATGGGTTCATGTCGATGTCTCCAGTTCTGACCTATTACCATGTGCACCCTCTTATCTGTACCCTCCCTCCAGCAGGGAGACACTGGGCTCCTCCACTGGCCACACAGATAGGTAACCATTCTGTTCCAGAGAAGGAGGGTGAGAACTGACACTGTGCTCATGCTCACTCATCTTTTGCTTTATTCTTCTTCACTGTGCTCTGCACCACTTCATATGTTTATTCTCTGTTTTCCTGTTCCATGTCAACAGGCAGTTGTGCTGCTGAGTCCCCAATACTTAAACTGCTTTGAACAAATCAGGTGCTAAATAAATGTTAGCTGAATGAGCATAATGAAAAACTCCCTAAATTTCCACAACTAAGCAGATCTGTTTGGCCTTTTTCCGCCAGCACTAGTTAACTCAGCTATAAAGGTACTATATCTACTTCAATCAAATTATCATCATAGAATATAATTTAGACTTTACATCAATTCAATGGACTTCTCTCTTCAATTGCTGCAATTATACGCACCAAACTGAAACAATGAACTATCAGAATCACTTAGAACGTTTACTTTTCCTATAAGGTCTGACTTGAACCAGTGCTCCCCATACTCTCCTGCCTCCCAACCTAAACTTCCTGGATACCATCCACCTCTTTCAGATTTCCTAGACATGTGATTCTAAGTACTCCAGCTATCTACTGATAAATATTCTTTCCACATGTGTTAGGAACATGAACAACAATCATGATCACAAGTCCACATCACAGTGTTAAATGAAGAATTCTATGAAAATTAAGCTTTTGATTTTACGTTCATCTTCCAAAAGAACTGTGAGGGCACATAAACTTAAATTCTTGGAAAAATTCACATATTTGCTCTCTCTTACTTAGTATGGAAGCCTGAGGTTTAAGAACAAAGACTAATAGAAAACATATGGAAAAGATCAGTAACAAGATGAAATCTTGGCCCAAATACAGTCTGCCATGTTTCACATACCAGTGTCTCAAATAATAGACAAGATTTGTACAGTACTGCCAAGCATCACCTGAAACACAGCATGCTTTTAAAAAACCTAAATAACAAAATAAACCCTGTGATTTCTTTGTAAAAACCTAGTGGTAAACACTATTTGAGGACACAAAAATAAATTCCAGAATTCACTTTACCTTATTAGTTTGTACAAACATTAAAGAGTCTTCCAAAGCACAAACTCAAAGTTCACTGCCAAGAAGTACAAGTTTAACTTTCTGTTTAAACTATGAAAACACTAGTAAAAGAATTTAGCATTTAAGCTGTTAATCACTACTCCTCAGGAGAAAAAACTCAGTGAAATGAGATTTTCTGTATCTACAAAATAAAGGAAATAGAAGTCAACAGAAGTTCCTAATGCCATCTTAGTCAATACTATAAAATTATTTTTTGTACTAACCTAAAGAGGCAAATCAGAGATCTATCTTCTGAGTGCAAAACACTAAATTCCATGACCAGATTAATGTTTGTTTCAAAAGTTAGTAGCAGGCATTCTAGTGCATATGTTTAAGATAAAGGTGAGAACGGTGATAGCAAATAGAAAAGAAGGTAAATTCTTTGTGTGGAAAAGTTATATATTTAATGTGTCACTAATGATACATCCCTTCATTTAAAAAGTAAACTAGAGGAGTGCCTGGGTGGCTCAGATGGTTAAGCGACTGCCTTCAGTTCAGGTCATGATCCTAGGGTCCTGGGATCAAGTCCCACATGGGGGGCTCCCTGCTCAGAGGAGAGTCTGCTTCTCCTTCTCCCTATGCCTCTCCTCCTGCTCGTGCTTGCTCACTCTCTCGTTCTCACACAAATAAATAAAATCTTAAAAAAAATAGTAAGCTGGATATGAAATGCTCTATGTTTCTAACCTCGGTTCTTTGTCTTCATGAAGGGAAGCCCTGGTGTGAACAAGAGATTTCAGACAAGCAACATTTCAAGATCTGAGTTCCACCTTAAATTGCTGGGACATGAGCTCCATGTTACAGGGGACCTTAATTTGGAGAATTCTTTGGCATGAAAATGAAAATAAAAACAGTAATCAGTACATGCTGTTTCATTTAGTTCTGTTTGCTTTTCATATTAGAGGAAATTCTTGCCACACCTCAAACCAAAATTAAGGGGAAAAGAAAGGGACATAAGCCACATCAATCTGACCAACAGCACAAGCATCTCAATTTGAATCCACAAAGTTTTGGATAATGAAAAGAAATACATAATTTTAATTCAACCCAAGTGTTTTCCAAGCAGATTATATTTGCTTAAATTGCTACAGTAATTCAAGGACAGCCCTGTCTGGACACACAGTTACTGTGGATTTTTAAGAGACTCAGTTAAAGAATTTAGGAATATCTGATTCAATTTACAGGATTTGCAAATTCATCAACCCCTGAAAACTAAAGCAAACTCAACAGGTATGATGATAAAATAATTTTCAATTTTTTTTATAAAGAAACTGTTCCTACTGTTAAAACTTTCTAAGTATATTTGATTTGTTTAACATTAAAATAGATTGCAGCCATCATAAAAGCACAGTATTTGGAAGCAATATCTGATAAAAGCTTTTGATTAGCAAAAATATTCAGAGAAAGAAGTAATATAGTGGTTTTAATTTTCTAATTTAAGATTTACCCAATAAATAATCTTTGTTTAGATTTTTTTTTTTTCAGAATGAAAGATTCTTAAGTTAATGGCATCACTGTCTCTTCTCGCACTCTCAACTTTAAAAGACAGAAACTGGCAAATACTTGTGAGCCATACATCTGAGCAGGGTGACAGATTCTGCTTGCAGGGAAGAAGGGTATTTGTACAGATTTCACTAGAAATTTTCTTAAAATTTCTGTTGACCAAATCCCTGCTACTAATGTAGTTTTGCTTTCTTTTGCCTCTTTCTGAAAGGGAAGATGTGAGTGCTCTATCTGGTACTAAAGAAACAGTTTCTTGGGTTCCAGTTAACTAAGATTTAAATATATTATGGCTAAAAGTAATTTTGAAACTTTCATATTTTTAACAGCAAAAGAGTCTTATTACTTCCTTAGGCCCTGGGTGTAATAGGGATGTATACTACTTTACTTTTATAGAGTTAAATTTAAAACTGCTTCGGAAAAAAATCTGAGTCCATATACTAATATCCTGGCTTCTTATATCCTAGTTTCTATGGCATACCAATAAAATGATTGTCTTTAAAATAATAAAATGCAATGAGGCTTTACAAGTACTTTAAATATTTGAGAACAAAGTTTGATCTCATTTTAATTAGAACTTTCTTAAAGCACCAAGTGCTTTTTCCCAAGAGAAATGTTATGATATAGAAACATTTATAGCTATAATATGAAAAATTCACATTACTGGATATTTTTTAAAACCGGTAACATATATTTTCCTTTGCTTTAAAGATTCCTTTTCACATCTGTTAATTTTTTACTGCTATGTGTAATGGGAATAGCATGCTGTGATGGAGATACCACTAGGAGAGAACAGCCATGTTTTCTGTGACCGTGTCCATTTAAAGAAACCATTTCTATACCTAGAAAAAATCAGTATTAGTGGTGATAAGCATCGCTGACAGGATGTAATCTGTAACTTACTAATCTAATTATCCATTCAACAAATATTTGAGCACTTATACACTGTGCATTGTACTAGATTCTGCCAGAAATTAGGTCAGGAAGTGGGAGGACTGTTTTGCTATGAGCTATCCTATAGGGAACAAGACATGAATTGTAGATCATAAAATGCAGAAGTAATAAAAATATGCTTAGCAAATGGCTGGGAAGAGATCAGTTGAATGGAAAGTTTGGAAAAAAAAATAAAGATGTCATTAGAACTGGGACTCACCAGTGATGAAGTTGAAGACTAAGATGAACAGGAAATAATGGGCCTGTGGATGGAGACGGGATTGATTTCAGACCAGAAAACTGGACTTGGTCAAAGGAAGTGGGACCAGGCTGGGCTGCAGAGAGCCAAGGTCCTGATGATTCAGAAGAGAAACTGTCCTTAGGGAAAGTCTGTTTCCACAGGTAGCCAAGAAGACCAAAAGCTGTCAACACTAAAGAATCCCTTTATTTTCAGAAAGACTCCCATCATGAGGTCTTCATCCCAAGTCAAAGGTACACAATTAAGTGCAGGATCAAAAGTACCCCCCAGGTCTCCTTTTCCCCCAGTAACTTCTCATAGTTGAAGAGAGTCATGACTCTCACCCTCAAATGTAAGGTTACTAATTGATTATTGCTAATATTCTTAATACAAGGATGAAATTCAGAGCTCTGATGAGCAAAGCTCATTTTGAAGTTCATCTGGCAACAGGCAGCTTCCAAGACCCCCCTCTGTGCCTGACTGCTCCCTCACCCCCGCACCCCATAGCTGCATGCCTCTGATTCTCTGTATACCTTTGTGAAACACAGCAACCTTACAGTAGAATCCCCTGGTGCAGTAAGACTGAGGTATCACTGAGGCATATGTACTTTATTTTTTTAAGATTTTATTTATTTATTCATGATAGACCCACACACACAGAGAGGCAGAGACACAGGCAGAGGGAGAAGCAGGCATCATACAGAGAGCCTGTCTCCAGGATCACGCCCTGGGCTGCAGGCGGCGCCAAACCGCTGCGCCACCGGGGCTGCCCCGGCATATGTACCTTAAAAAGTTAATACGCTTCACTATGATGAGTACCATAAAATATTACAGATTTAACACATAAAATATTATCAACTAGAGAGTAAAATGTATAGCATGTTCTATATCCATTCCTGCTAATCTTCCAAGATCTGGACCAAATGATACTTATAAAGACTGTATGCCCAAAGCAGGGTTAAGCCACTGTACCCACAGCACTGGGCTCTAGGCAGTAAACCTGATGTCCCTCTGTCTGAGAATACGGTTTGCCATGTTGGGTCTCTCCATAAACTATACGCTCTCCACAGAGGGGACCACGTCTTCACATCTTCTTTTCTGTGTTCCCCACCAAATACAGTGTCTCGCCCCCAGAACTGCAGATAATCATTAAGTGAAGTAAACCAGCAAACTTAGTAACTACTACTATTTGTAAGGTGGTTGACTAGCCATGTTCACATACATCTAGCACAGGTCACTAATGAATGCAACACACCTACTGAGAGCTTCCCGGCACTCAGTGGGGTTAGCAAGTGCTAAACAATGCCCTTGGGTGAGACCACACTCCCCATGGGACTCTTTCCTACTTCACTCACAAACAATACAGTGTAAAGATCACGACTCAACTACATGAATTAGGTGTTCATTCCCTGATTGTGGCAGATTCCACAAGTCAGAATTCAGATCCCGTACATTCTGGTCCAGATTAGCTCTAACAGTCTTACTCTGCTCCTTCAACAGCTAACCACTATTTTCCAAACACCCTGCTCTTTATTGCTTATGTGTTTTGCTCATCTCTTCTATCTGGAAATCTTCCTGGTCTTTCTCTATAACAACCCTAATATTCCTTCAAAGGCTATCAAACGTCACATCCTCCACGAATCCCATGGATAAGAAGGAACAATGCATGTAGTCTATTTAGATTTGTAAAAGAAAACTATGAGTTTCAAAATCACAGATTGTTTTGAAAGATCAAACCATTGCAATTTTGACATATTCTATAGGTAGGGATTAGATTAAATATATATATATAAATAAATATATATAACTATATATAAATATAACTATATATAAATATATATATTCATGTATATATATGAATAAATGTTTTGTTTGATCTATTCTCTTGACAAAAAAAAAAGTTCGCAATGTCATCATCCAAAACTGGTAGAGAATGAAGTTATTTATTTATTTATTGATTGATTGATTGATAGTCCCAGAGAGAGAGAGAGAGGCAGAGACATAGGCAGAGGGAGAAGCAGGCTCCATGCACCAGGAGCCCGATGTGGGATTCGATCCTGGGTCTCCAGGATCGCGCCCTGGGCCAAAGGCAGGCGCCAAACCGCTGCGCCACCCAGGGATCCCGAGAATGAAGCTTTAGAGGCTCATCTAGGAGCAAGGAAAAGGAATGCTAAGGACATATCCTGAGCAGTACTGAGTGGTCATGAATTTAAAGTGAGACCACCTGGCATGGTCTGTTTTCTCTCCACTTATTCTGCTGCGTGAGTCAAGCTGCAAGTAGACAGACAACTGAAGGAATGGAGTTGGAGTTTACTGGAAGAATACAAGGATGAAAGGGGCCAGAGGGTCTGGGGTGTGAGCAAACGAGGGACAACAGTGATGTCTGCCAACTATGGGGTCCAGGCCACCAAGAGGAACCAAGTGTGCTGGGAAGTATGAATGATGGGCAATGAAAACACAGCAGGATCCATGTATTTAGATCCCACTGAAACTGAGGAATCACTGCAGTTGGAGCCATTACGTGGAGAAGGCTATAAAGTTTGGGTGGGAAGGCCCATGTTCTGGGTATATGCGAGGGGGAAAAAAAGAACAAGGGTCCCTGACACTACTTAAATATTGACTCCAAATCCCACATAAACACATAATTACACTTGACACATTTTTTGTTTATGACAAGAAAATATACAAGAATCTAAGATGTTAGGGTCTAGGGCAGACTTTCTCAAATGGGATCTGTCAGAGACAATGATTTACATAACTATTTTTTCCAATTATCTCAATGATGAAAAATAGCTCGTACTATTCTAATGGCTAATAGAATAGGAGATAAGTCATTCCACAACACACAAGGACACATTGATGTTAATTCTCATGAAACACAGAATGGGAGAGGGAGAAAAAAAATAGCCTCAGAATCAGAGGCATGTTCTTTTTTTTTTTTTTTTCTTTTAACTTTTACCTAAATAACAAACTTATTCCACCTGGATCACTTTCTAATTTGCAAAGCACTTGTCCATGCATATCTCACACGACTGTCACAACCACGGTTAAGTGGACAAGTAATTACATTTCTCATTTTCTTGATGAGGCAAGAGGCAGATATGTTAAGTGGCTTGACCATCCTAAGTGACAGGCCGGAAATAAAGGTCTTCAGGCTCCTCGTCCAGTACAGCAACCATCACTCACCACGACTTCACATTAACAGCCTTTCTCAAGCTCAGTGCTCCCTCCTTTCAATCGTACCTGCCATACACCCTCCTACTCCCTGTACTGTGCACGTCTTTCTGATTTTCCACCAAACCTCAACTCCTGGGAGACAAGACAGCGTGTTTTCAATATCTGTTTATCTAGGATTTAACTCAAAAATATTAGTGGAAAGAAGAAAATATACAGAATAACCTATTAGAAGATAGAAGTTTGTAGACTGTAAATATTGTGTGTATTTGGGATTTGAAGCAGTTATTCAAGTAGAGTCAGAGACAAAATAATTGGATTCTGGAAATGGTTTCATGGGGGAAAATTTGAAGTCATGATTAGGCTTGGACAGAAACACTGAGAGGAAACATGATAGCTATTTTTAATATCTCAAGCTCTTACATAAAAGGGAATGTTTCATGTTTTTCTAAGGGCAGAAAAGAGCATCAGCAAACAGAAGTTACAGTGGGAAAAGGTTGGTCTGGGTGTTATTCTATACGTTGGCAAATTGAACACCAATAAAAAATAAATTTATAAAAAAAAAACAACGAAAAGGTTGGTTAATATTAACCAAGACCAAGACTGTCTCCTCTCATAGGTAGTGTCCATTGCTGAAGGGACCAAATAGTGGAACACTCAGCATTTTCAGTGGAGGGAGTACCTAGCTTTGGGGCTGAGTGAAGTTGTTTTATCACTGTGAATATATAGTAAGCAAGACAAACTAGGATTCTCTTCAAAGCTGGATATGTAGTCCAATTCAATGCAAAATGTGACTTTTTTTTTAATACCATCTTATTGGTACTTAAACATTAATTTTGGTTTGAGTATTGCCCATTTATTTTGGACAGTCTTTTATATATTTTAATACAGATACAGATATTACACATTTTATGCAATTGTTAATTTATACAAAAATTATTCTAGGATTTACTCACTTTTCCCACAATATATTTGCTTTCTTTTGTAATAGGACAAAAAAAGAACATGGGCTTTCTAAGTCGAGCATGTGTCCTTTTCTTCTTTTTTGGAGTCAAAGTAAGTTGCCAGTATGAAAGTTATCAATGGGATGAAGATTATGATCAAGAACCAGATGACGTCTACCAACCAGAATTTCCATTTCATCAAAATGAGGACTTTCAAGTTCCTTTTCATCAGCATATGTTAGGCTGTGCCACTGAATGTTTCTGTCCACCCAATTTTCCATCATCAATGTACTGTGACAATCGCAAACTCAAGACTATCCCACGTGTCCCAGCACACATACAGCAAGTCTACCTTCAATTCAATGAAATTGAGGCTGTGACTGCAGATTCATTCATTAATGCAACACATCTTAAAGAAATCAACCTCAGTCACAACAAAATTACTTCTCAAAAGATTGATATTGGTGTGTTTGCTAAGTTGCCAAATCTACTACAACTTCACTTACAGCATAACAATTTAGAAGACTTTCCATTTCCTCTCCCCAAGTCTTTGGAAAGACTTCTTCTTGGCTACAATGAGATCTCCAGATTGCAGACAAACGCCATGGATGGGCTAGTGAACCTGACAATGCTTGATCTCTGTTATAATCAGCTTGAGGATTCCATGTTACAAGAAAAAATACTTGCCAAAATGGAAAAATTAATGCAGCTCAACCTATGTAATAACAGATTGAAATCAATGCCTCCTGGTCTGCCTTCTTCACTGATGTACCTATCTTTAGAAAATAATTCAATTTCTTCTATACCAGAAAATTACTTCAACGAACTTCCCAAACTTCAGGCTGTACGAATGTCACACAACAAACTACAAGATATCCCATATAATATTTTTAATCTTTCCAACCTAATAGAGCTCAATGTTGGACACAACAAACTGAAGCAAGCATTTTATATTCCAAGAAATTTACAACACCTATACCTACAGAACAATGAAATAGAAAGTATGTAAAATTTCATTATTTTTAAAGACAGGATAGTATGCTGACCTTTTAAAGAACAAATCTTTTTCAAACTCTATGCTTTACATGTTGCTGAAAAGTTAATTTGAAGTAGCTGGGGAAATGGCCGAAACTGGCCTCAGAAAGTGTGTTATAAAGTTGATAGCCTTTCCTATTAAATGTCATCAATATGAACACTGACAAGTAGTACTGTAGAGTATAAGGAAAAAAGAGGAGTATCCTGAGTAGTTGAGACTATAAGTGATTTTTACTTTTTTCTTTTTGAGATTATTTTTACTAAGAATTTACTACATAATAAATAACTAAATAGCAATGAACCTATCTAAAAATTTTTTAATTCCAGTATAGTTAGCACACAGTGCTGTATTAGTTCCAGGTATACAACACAGTGATTCAGCGCTTCCATTCATCACACTGTGCTCATCATGATAAGTGTGCTCTGAAAGCCATCATTTACTTTGATAACATATAATTTATCTGTAATTTTCTTCATTTTATTATTTGATTACTGTAAAAACTAATTAAACCTAATTCTACCTGTAAGTATTTTAATTAAGACTGTATCTCATATTTTAATAAAATCCAATGTAGGACTCCAGATGTAATGCAGCAGGATTAATCTTTATTTTGTATTTTTCAGGTATCAATGTTACAGCGATGTGTCCGTCTGTTGACCCACTGCATTACCACCATTTAACATACATTCGTTTGGACCAAAATAAGCTAAAAGAGCCAATAACCTCATACATTTCCCTCTGCTTCCCTTATATACACACTATTTATTATGGTGAGCAAAGAAGCAGTAATGGTCAAACAATACAACTGAAGACCCAAGTTTTCAGGAGATTTCAGGATGATGCTGATAGTGAAGAACATGAGGATCACCAAGAAGGTCCAGAACAAGAAGAAACAGAAGAAAATACTGACCATCACTACTATGGAAGTTAAGAATCGCAAGAAACTATATAGGTATATGGTTATGATTTTATACATTAGTCAATATAAGTTTAACTAAACATGGAAGGCTCACAGTAATATACCTAGAATCATGTATTAGTATAAGATCAGACTGAATTTAAGTTGTTGCTAACATTGGCATCATTACATAGCATTCAAACTTACTTAAGAGGATACTAGTCTTTGGAAATATAAATTAAAATGACAAGTGGGAATAAAAAACTAAACTTGAAAGCTGAAAAAAAAAAAAAGCAAGTATGCCATCTCTAGTAATAGTAACTGTTCTAAGAGTGATGAAAACAGTAGCACCAGAAGCCGAGAACTAGCAGAGGACAGGGTGGAGCTGCCTATGCTTACATTCATATAAGAGGAAGCCATTTACTTAGGAGTAAATTACTTTCTTTGTCCTGACTCCCAGAAAGCTTTCACACTTTTTTTGTATATAGTTTTTTTTATTGGAGTTCAATTTGCCAACATGTAGCATAACACCCAGTACTCATCCCATCAAGATTTCACATAAAAGTGTGAAAGCTCGGGGATCCCTGGGTGGCGCAGCGGTTTAGCGCCTGCCTTTCACCCAGGGCACGATCCTGGAGACCCAGGATCGAATCCCACATCAGGATCCCGGTGCACGGAGCCTGCTTCTTCCTCTGCCTGTGTCTCTGCCTCTCTCTCTCATTCTGTGTGACTATCATAAATAAATAATTAAAACTTTGTTAAAAAAAAAAAAGTGTGAAAGCTCAAGTGACTGAGGGGGGCACTTGAGCTTTCACACTTTTATGTGAAATCTTATCACCATGACATCCACTTTCCTGGCCTTACCACTTAGAGCAATAGAGCATGCTCCTGATTTTCAAAGAGGCCATTCTACTAAGGATTCAAGACATGTGTGTGGTTTCATAAAATCAACTGGTTCTTTCTCTCAGAGCACCAAAGCAACAAAATTCTCCAATCTGTATTAGGATAACTGAAAAACTACCAAACTGTCTCATCACAATCTGTATTTTAGCAGATTTCAGCAATTGTCCAAAACAATCTGTTTTCCATTTTAACTGGGATAAATGTTTTTATAGTAAACTCACGAAAGTTTTTTGGTTGTAGTTACATAAAGATTTGCTAATAAATAACTGCTTTGCCCATAAGGTTAATTTAGTATACAATATACCAGCATTATTAAAACACTTTCATTTTCCTAGCACAGTACAGTAGAAACATATATGTGCATCAGCCGGGATTTATTTAATTAGTGCTAAAGTTGAACAGAGTTCCTTTACAATTTGGACAAGCTTTGATATTTTCTTTAAAACCTTAGAAGCACCTATTATTTAATCTATCATTTTGAAGTATTTTAAGTACGCCTTGTAATGAAGATGATGGAAGTGCTGCGATGAACTCTCCTGATATACCAGCTAACATTTCAGTTTCTCAGATGAAGAATAAACACAGATGGGCTGACCTACAAGGGGAACCCAAACAACAAATGGTAACAATTTGGACAACCGGCCAGGACCAGACAAGTGAAACTTTAAGTTTTCAAGTGGTGAGTCTTTATTTTGCTAGAAATAAGAGTGCAAAATGAAGCCCCTAATGCTCTTTATTTCTTTGAGAAGTTATTAGCGTTTAGCAGAAACAGAACACCCACCTGTCCCCAAGAACAACCTCAACAATTCATAACGAACACAAACAACACTCTATTCATTCATTTAATTAACATTCATCAAAGCAGCTGGTGTGTAAGGCTTAGCAATAAGGGCAATAAACAGAACTATGTGCACCTGTGACATCTCAAGATACAAGGGTGAGGGTAGCAGAGCAAAATGCTGGGAAGGTGGACAAAGCACACTTTCAACACAGGTTAAAGAAAATTAAGGACCACCTCCCCCTTTATTGAAATTTTTTAAAATAGGCTTATAAATTTAAATATTATGAGCTAATATTGTAAAATACTATGAGTGTTTTAGGAGATAAAAGAGATACAACTATTTCTAACCTAAAGCAATTTAAAATCTAATGAGAGGCCATCAGGGAAATGTAAATGAAAACCCTAATGAGAGACCCTCTCTCACTCACTGGGATGGCTAGAACTTAAAAGACACATAACAGGGGATCCCTGGGTGGCGCAGTGGTTTGGCGCCTGCCTTTGGCCCAGGGCGCGATCCTGGAGACCCGGGATCGAATCCCACGTCGGGCTCCCGGTGCATGGAGCCTGCTTATCCCTCTGCCTGTGTCTCTGCCTCGCTCTCTCTCTCTCTGTGTGTGACTATCATAAATAAAAAAAAAAAAATAAGGAAAAAAAAAAGACACATAACAGATGTTATTAGCAAGGAGGCAGAGAAAGTAGAACACTCACACGCTGCTGGTGGGACATCCTATGGTGCAGCTGTTTTGGAAAGCAGTCTGCAGTTCAAAAAATTAGAGTCACTTACAATGCAGCAATTCTACTCCTAGATACATACTCAAGAGAACTAAACAACACACATGTTCACACAGAAATATACAAACAAATGTTCAGAGCAGCACTATCCATTAATAGCCAAAAAGCAGAAAGCACCCAAATGTCCAGCTGAAGAATGGATAAATAAAATGTGGTCCTGTACACAAAACGGAGTATTATTCAGCCAAGAGAAGAAATGAAGTACTGATACATCATTCTACCACATAGATGAACCATGAACACATCATGCAAAGTGAAAACTCAATCACAGAAGAAGACTGCACATAGTATGATTCCATTTCAGTGAAATGCCCAGAACAGGCAAATCTATAAAGACAGAGTTTTGGTTGCCTGGGACTGCAGGGGTGGGGAAGAGAGGGAATGTGGAAAGTAACTGTTAATGAAGAGAGGGTGTTTTTCAGATAAAAAAATGTTCTAAAACTGACTGTGGTGATGGCTGTACAAATCTAAAAATACTAAAAATGATTCATAGATTTTTAAAGGGTGAACTGCATGAGATGTGAATTGTCTCAATAAAGCTGTTAATAAAAAGTTTAATGAAGAAATTATGATCAACTCATTCTAACACAAGGAAGAAAGAAAATCTAACATGGCAGTAACTATGAAAGACGATGTGAGTACAGACGGATACGCTAATTTTATTTCTGGTCAGGACGTGGTAAAGTAGCTCATGGTTTCAAGAAGAGTTCAGGGGTGTGTCTGTAAACAGGTTACCCAGCTGCAGGGCCCAAGGAGGAAGCAGGTTAACACCATCTTTGCTACCTGAAAATGACCCTGAGGAATGCATACCCACCCCAAGTATCTCTCATTAAAAAACAGAACCCAATGCTTTCCATCAGAGAAAGTGAAGAATAAAGTACTTCACTAACCAGCACATCAAGATTGCACAACTATCTACCATAGCTATAGGCAAAACCAGTTGATCTAGTATTTACAAGAGGGGGGGAAATGAAAATTCATCTGTTTTCTTATTACACATAAAAGTATTAATTAGCTACTAGGCTGAACTGTATTTGTGACCACTGACAAATCCAAAGCACTCCATGAACCAGGTTTAGTTAACATACAAAGGCATAATATACAACTAGTTTTTTAAAGGACATAAAGGATATTTCATAAATTTACTCACAATAAAACTGGTTGAAAATGTTAGCTTGAGCTTACATACCGGAAACCCTCTACATTTTCCCTTTATTCCTCAGGTTGGGACCACTAAACTAAAGTGCAGATGTGTGCATATCATGTAACACACTTAGCCAACTCCAAGGGGAAAAACAGAAGAAATCAATCTTGTCTCTACTGTATACTTTTACTGTTGCAAAGAATTCATAGGACCTGAAGGACGGCTAGAACTAAAACCCTGGTTTCCTGATTCCAAAACCATTTCTTTTCCAAATCCTGGAAATAAAGTTTAGCAGCAGCTGGAAACAAAATTAAACCATAACAGCTAAAAAATCTAAAGTTTCTTATATGTCCCAAATTCCTAAATAAATATAACTGTCTAGCAAGTAAATATCACATCTCATGAAAATTACATGGAGCTTACATTACTTTACAAACTTAGGCTGCGAATTTGCTATACAGGGATGTATGTACTACTTGGAAAAACTCACTAGTACAGTATGTTTTTAACATGAACCCTACCTCACATGAGGTCATAACTCTCCCCTCATTAAAGTTCACCCTTCAGTCTGGTAAATACTTGGGTTCTCATCTTTATCTCATCTCACCACATGACTAACTAGGCTTCGGGCAAAAGAAGATTTGAGATGGAGATCAAATCATAGACTTTCCATAAAGTCCTAGAATGTTGCCTAAAAGGAACTATAAATATCTAGTAACTCAGCGATTCTCAGTGGCAGCAATTCGGCCCTCCAGGGTAGGATACTGTGATTTGTAAGAAATACATTGGGTCTTTATATTCATGGTTCCTGGCTCACAGCTCCCAAAACCCCTTTCCTATGCACAGAGGGTGATTAAGACGTCTTTTGTTATGTTAATGAAGATGACTTTGGGGGCTGCCAGGAGAACCAAATGAACTTCAGTCCCAAAGCCACGTGCAATCTGGGGGGAGGGGAGATAAATCGGCTAGAGGTTGACTTGGCCAATGGCCAATGACTTAGTCAATTAGGACTATGTAAGGAAGCCTCCATAAAAACCCAGGATGGGTAACTGGGGCTTCCAGTTGAACAGAAGAAGATGCCAGAATTGTGGTGCACCTAAGCTCTATGCCTTCCCTAGACTCTGTCCTCTGCATCTCTTCAATTCACTGTGGAGTCAGTTCCTTTGTCACAACCTTTAATAAACTGGTAAGCTTAAGTGTTTGGAACTTCCAAAGATGGAGTGCTGGTAGGGACAATTCTCTGTGCCATGACCCTTTGTGAAGCCTAGAATAGGTCCTATGGCAAGAGCCTGTGAGGGCCTCCCAGGGCTGACTGTAAGAACTTTGGACAAGAGAATTAGTATTTGAGGGGCTTTACTAGCATGTCTAGGATGCTGCTGCAGGAACTCCCTAATGTGGATGGCAGTGCCCGGAAATGCAAGGAGGAGATTCTTATGAGCAGGGAACCTCTTTTCCATGCCCCCAGGACTGATTCTGGAGCTGTGCAGAGGGCTGCACTCCACTGTCACGTGGACAGTGCCCTATGGACAGCTCTCTACTGAAGAACAAAGAGCTGCCTGGTTTATGGACAACAGTTCCAAGGTGAATGGACAACATCCTGTCTGGAAGGCCACCACCCTGACTAGAGAATATAAAAACAGATCAGTGTGGTGTGTGGAGCTGCATGCTGTTTTTCTAGCAGTGATGAGGAATCGAACAATGTTAAGAGACCCTATGTATAGATTTTTACTCATTCATGAGCAGTGTCCAATAGCCCAGCCATATGGTCAGGCAGAAAGGCATTGGAATCTTGGCCTACTAACAGGAATGTCCATATGGAACACAGCTCTACGGAAATAACTGTGGGTATTTTAGAAGTGTATTAATGTTGGACATGTCAATACCCACCAGAAAACCTGCCTTCTAGTTTTGGAAGATGAGTAGATTCGACATGCATCCATCCCCAAGTGCTCCCTAGAGATGGCCACCTGGGCCTAGGAAACGAGTACATTTGGGGGGACTGCAGCACTGCAGAGACCGGCTGAATCTAGAATCTCTTGCACCCTCTGAGGCACAAAATGCCGATATGAACTGTTCTGGCAACAGGAGAGACAGAGGCTACAGGTGCTGTGTAGCACAGACCCTATGGGAAGGTCCTGACGTGTCTGAGAACGCACCCCGATGTGGTCACCTTGGAGGCTATCAAGGGTTCCTGACAGGAAGAGGTACTGACTCTGGACTGGGCTTTGCTGACCTGGTGATAGATGCAAACGTTCAGAGTGATACAGAAAACCAGAAAAGAAGATATTCCAAAGCCAGCTGTCCTCTCCTCAGACCAAGGAACTCACCAAATGTCCAACCGCGAGCAGAGAGAAACAGCTTATGGAAAGAATTTTATAGAGCACTAGGATGGGCAATTAAACATTGGTTGTCTAAAACAGGAAAGGTTGGCTTACAAGCCTGCACAGGTGTGCTCACCTCAACGTGAACATGAATGTGGCTAAAGGAGTGTCCCCATTAGATACATTTGTTTTCTGGTGGATCTGGGAAAGAGTGGGGGGGGGGGCAGGTGCCTTTGCTCTTTGTTCTCTACATCACCTCAGCTTTTTCTTTTCCCCCAACTGACGCAGTGGACCAGGGCTGCCACTACAAGGGTTGGAAGCAAGGACGATTCCATGTCTACAGCCTTTCCAGTGGAATTCCATCAGTGGCCTGATGGGGCAAAATGTGCCTTCACCCACCTGATAAAAGTGGGGCTAACCATGAGCAACACTGCGCTTCCTGGTGGTAAAATGAACCTCCAGTGCTGAATGTGCCTAACCTCATCTGAACAGAAGTGGACTGAAGGGGACGGACTCACCATGCCAGTACTGCTGCCTGCAACCTAGACCAGGACAGGAGCCTGATCCAATACCCCTCTCTGAGATGGGGAAGTTTGGGTATAAACAGAGAGAATAAAAAGCAGTAGCTAAAGGTAAGGGAATGAATAAGTATGTTATGTAATGAGGGAAATCCAGCGTTACCCAGACACGCAGACAGAGGCTCAGAGCAAGAGATACTGTCTCAGCTCGATGATACCAGATACCTGAAAGGACGTTACTGAGATCACTCCTGCTTTTAGAACCTGACCAGTTGGCACAGAAGCCTGCAAACCTAAGTGGCCTTGCCCTCGGAGACATTTTCATAAGATATGAGGATATGAGCATGGACTGAACAGTTTTTTTTTTAAGATTTTATTTATTTATTCATGATAGAATGAGAGAGAGAGAGAGAGAGAGAGAGAGAGAGAGAGAGAGAGAGAGGCAGAGACACAGGCAGAGGGAGAAGCAGGCTCCATGCCGGGAGCCCGATGTGGGACTCAATCCCGGAACTCCAGGATTGCACCCTGGGCCAAAGGCAGGCGCTAAACCGCTGAGCCACCCAGGGATCCCCATGACTGAACAGTTATTAATGACTGAATGGGATTCTGGTAGTGCACCAACATCTTTTGACTTTTATCATTGTTTGGCAGTGAGGGACCTGTGTTCAAGGACCAGGGGATGGATTGCCGTGCTGTGATTTATAAGTATGTGTTTGGTCATTCAAAGGGACAAAGTATTGAGATAATACTGGTTTGTCACAGCTGATGGGGGCGAGGGGTGGAGGAATGCTACTGGCATCTAGTGGGCAGAGAGTGGGGATGCTGCAAAATGTCCTACAATGCACCACAAAGAATGATCTACTCCAAGATTTCAATAGCGCGGAGGTTGGAAAAACGCGGCAGTAACTACAGTCCAACAGATAAAAACACTGAAGTCCAAAGAAGTTAACTTGTTCAAGATCACTGCAAACCAGGGAAGTGCCTTCATGGGAGAAATGACATTTGTAGTCTGAGTGCATTTGTCTGCACTTCTGGCAGAAACTGGTGCCCAATAAATTTACTTCATGGATGAATACCAATAAAACTGTATTCACTGGTCATGACTTCCCAAGGAGAGATGTTATAATTCACAGTATAATTTTCTGTAGTACAAAGGATCACACTGTATTTAACATTAGTAAAGCATCCCATCTCTAGGATTCTCTAAATCTGACATTTAACATCTATCCCCTGTTCACTTCTCAACAAATCTGCCACACAGTGCAAAACAAACTAACCAGTATTTGCTGTTTCATTTAAGATATTTGCAAAGACTGAATATTTTATTGTATCCTTAAAGCCATAAAATTGACAATTTCTATCAGCCCAAACCAGAGAATATCACAAAATGTAAAATAATTCATATTCAAATAAAATCATGAGCATTCAAGTCTTAGATTTTCCAAGCTATAATTTGAAAGACTCTAAAGACAATTTTAAATAGAAAAGAACAAATTGGTATTCTTTTCTGTTTTATAATAAAATTTATTCATACCCATATATATTGGATTTTTGTTTTAGAGGAGAAAGAAATGTTACCCTGAGTGCTAAGAGCACCAAAGAGTGACAAAATGAAAGTGAATCTTTACGATGGACATATATAATTATCTAAAATACCATTTAAACTTTTAAAAATCAAATTTACAATTTAAATGATTTTTATAGTTTCCTTATTTTAGCAAACGAAGCTATCTTTACTATCAAAACTCTGAATTACAAATCAAATGTATTTTTTAAAAGCTGATTTCTCAGACTTGGATTTTTATTACATGTAACTAAAATAAAGGAGGGGGGCCCCAAATGATTAAACTACATGATAATTTATACTAAAAGTAATTTTTGCACTGGAAATTTCTTGACTATATACTAATTATGGTACTACAGCAATATTTTTACCCCTCATAAAATTAAGAGCACAGACTAGGTTTTGATTTGGTGTTTTATTTCATTGAAAAAGCAGAAGTTTTTATCTTCTGGGAAAGCATTAAAATAAAAAGCAGGACTTTAAAGCTATGTCGTCTTTACAAATAATACTCATGAAACCTTAGTGCTCATTACACAAGGTACACATGTGAAAAATAACACAAGCTTACGGTAATTAGAAGCAGACCAAGCAAGGCAGTTGAAAATGTTTCAAAGCACAGCTCTCCAGTACAACACACTACATTTCACCCCAGAGAAAGAATGTTGGCAAGGATCTCTACCACATGCAAACTGCATTTAAAGCTGCTGGGCCCTGAAACTCCATGCAGCAGTTTGAAACTGATCCACAGCTTTCCTCCTTCACCTACCACTTGGGGCTAATACACACGCATGAACTTCTATTGAGGAAAACCACAAAAAGCTTCAAAAAAGCTACAACGGTAGGCTCTTCTTTCACATATTCTTTTAAATATCATTTGTTAAGATGTGGGATTCATCGAACAGTCTTGATAAATGCAAAGGCCACCTCTAATTTTTTAAGTTTCAGTTACCTTGAACAATTGTAACAAGCACTTAAATATGTCACTAGATAATTTTAACATCCCTGCAGGCAAGAACCTTGCTGCAAAAGTCACAAAACCAGGCTTTTTAGCCACTGATTTTTGACAAGCTGGCATCTACAATGCAGCACCAGCAACTCTGATTCTGTCTGAAATTACTTTAAAACTCTGAAATGCGCACTGAGAAGCCTAAGAGAATCTTCCTCAAAATCCTTGATTAAATTCTGTATTTTTTCTAGTCTGCAATACTGTGTTTTTCATAGTATAAATTCCAAAAGCAATGCTATTAACTAAAAATAATGATGTCAATGAAAATTACAAGACTAAGAAAATTAAAATTATGGCTTTTCCCATATGCTTTATCACCTAGAAGTGCTAATGATTACTTTTCATGTTAAATTTAAAGTTTTAAAACTCTTGGAACTTATTTCTATTCCTACCATTACAAATCAAGAGTTCTTATAAAATAGCAAAGTTGAAATATGATATTTTTAACTCACATGAGACAGGATCATGAGTCTTCATTTTAACTATTTAAACTACAGGTATCCTAAGACTTCAATTGCATACAAGTACCTTTGTTTAAAGCACCTAATTACTAACGAACTGAAATTTTCAACATTGCTTAGGTTTTGACAGAAAAATAAATAAAACCACTTTCTGAAACTATTTTTAAGAACGTCACTGATACATGAAAACTTTTAGCATCTAATTAAAGATCACTAAGGGTTAAATATTGTTCTCTGGCCCCTACTGAGTATACCCTGCCAAAAGTCCTCTAAGCTTTTAAATATTGCTTCGATGGTCTGTGTTTTTACTTCCAGGGAAAAAGAGAGCATTGTCCCACAGTCAGCAGGCCACTAGCTTATTAACTTCCAGTCACCTTGACTTTGCTGACATGAAGATTCTGCAGTCTACACTTTTCCTGCTCCTGTTTATACCTCTGACAGAGCCAGCACCACCAACTCTGCAGGACTCACGCATGACCTATGATTATGGAACAGATAATTTTGAAGAAACCTTGTTTAGTCAAGATTTTGAGGACAAATATCTGGATGGAAAAAATATTAAGGTACTTTATTTCTACCCTAAATTAAACTTCTAAATTAGTCACCCATTTAAATGCATGGGTTTTTTTCTAATGTGTCTGATAAGGTAAGGGGAAAGAAAAAGCACTTTAAATGAAAGTAATTCAAAATATCCCCAAGATTATATTTTTAAAGTATGCATGTCTCCCAAATTAATAAAAAGAATCTATTGTAACCAAACAGTATCTATAGCAACCAACATAAAATTTAAGATGATCTCCTACTGGTTGAAGATTTATAAGTAGTGTTATACAATGCCCTACGTTTGTGTATTATATTGCCTCAAAATAAAACAGGAGAAATGTGTATTAGGAGAAATAATCTTGGATTACCAGCTTAAGGTTTATTATTTTAGAAAGAAGTGGTTCGTGGAAATAAATACTGCTTATTTTGGTTTCTACAGCATTTCACAATAACTTACATATGGTAACAAAAAATGAAAAACGCCTCAATGTGAGGCTTAATTTTTAATCAGTTTCAACAATTTAGACTAACAATTTGTACGAAGTGACTGTAATTGTCCTTCAGTTAATACTCTGCAGGGATGACTTCATATCACATCTTTCATACTCCACTTGCATGGGCTGAGTAATTACTTGTGGTTTTTCTGGCACACAGAAATGAACGCTGGGTAAGGAAAAAGTTAACACGGCACATAAGTATCTGCTCCTGCCTACTCTGTGTATGCGTGTGTGCCATGCACGCGTGCACACATAGAATGGAAAATGAGAAAGGCAGCCAAATATATAACAATGTTGATTTTTTTTTTCTTTTTTAGTACACAGGACCAAATGTTAACACTATAATTTCTTTCAATGGAGTTAATATGCTGGTATTATTTTTGCCTGATATTAAGACAAAAAGGATTGGTACCACTAGTCATAGCTTCAGAAATTCTTTTTAAAAGTGCTTATCATAACAATCAACTATTGGCTTACATGGATGATTGGAATCTTTAAGTTAAGAAAATAATTTCGAAATTCCATGGTCTCTAAAAAGTAGTAAGTTCTTTGTTTCTCTTCACATTGCTTTAGAAGTTCTGCTTTTAATATAAATGTAGGAACTCATATTTGTGGATTAAAATTCAACAGCACTTAATATACAGATTCAGAGTGGAGGGGCTGTTCAAGCAGAAGCCATGTGGGAGGAAAAAGGAGTTAAGATGGAGATGGAAGGCAAATGTGCTTTCAGAGGGTACACACTGTGGCCCCCCGCCATCTACATTAAGTCTAATGGCAGAAAATGTTCCCTTCCAGGATAGGAGAGAGTGATACAGACCCCCAGGGCTAACAGCCTGGACTGGAGGTCCCAGTGGGGCAGGCAAAAAGAATAAAAGGGCCAGGTGTACTGCAGGCATGTAGGTAATGATGGGCCACATGCAGAAGAAGCCAAAAGCCTGCTCAGTGCCCAGCACATGCACCATGACTTGTGCTTCAATCCTGCTGACCATGGTAAAATCTGCCATCAGGAACTCAATTAAGGCAAGACCATAAAGAACAATTAAAAGACCTACCCTACATAAAGAGGATCTCATTTCAAGTTTCACTTCAGAAAAACTAAATTCTGAGTCAGAGAGCCCCTTTCAGCTCCCATTTGGAATTTCAATATATTAATTAGGAGGCACAGAGTTCAGCTTTTGGAGATTTAAAAAACAAACAAACAAACAAAAAACAGACCTGGTTCTTTCTTATACTCAAGGAGTTGACAGTATGGAGTGAAAACAAGCTACACAAATATTTGCCTTATAAGTTAATGAATGATGAAGTGGAATTATGTATGCAGCACAAAGGAGATGCCACTATGACCATGAGAAGACAGGTGCTATCTGTGATCCTACGCTCTTTAGTTTTAAGATTTATTTATTTGAGAGAGGTGAGGAGGGGTAGAAGGAGAGGGAGGAAGAATCCCGAGCAGACTCCCTGCTGAGCGTGAAGCCCAACGTGGGGTTCCATTCCATGATCCTGCGATCACAACCTGAACTGAAACCAAGAGTTGGATGCTCAACCCATTGAGCCACCCAGGCACCCCATAACCTTAAGTTAAAACTCAAAATTAGGCTTTTTCAAACCTAATAACAATTTTTTACTTTTCTAATAGGAAAAAGAAACTATACTACCTGAAGAGAAAAGTCTTCAATTACAAAAAGATGAGCGTGTAATGCTACCACCCCTCAAGAAGGAAAATGATGGTAAGTGTGCATACCCTCTCATCTAATTATCTTAAAAGGAGCTTTAATAAATAGATAATGGGAATTTATTCCTTATGGTATAAAAAATGACCTCAAGCTATATTAAATTCAAACAGTGGACTTTTACTCCAATGATAAAGTCAGCTGGTGTGTTAGTTGGGACATCCACTGCCACCCCGTGCTATGAGTGAGAATCATGGGGCAGGAACATTCAAGAACAATCCGAGTGCCGAGTACACACTGTGTGCTTCCATCTGTATAAAATCAATTTCAGAAACAGTGACTTAACAACAATGATCTGCAAATACTATGTGCAACCTGAGGATAATGGAAATAAAATGAATTCTTAATTGCAACAAACTTACAGAAGACACAGAGATGGCTATATATATAAATAATATATACTTCAATGAAAACAGAAAATTATAAAATAACATCTTTCTTAATTGTTCCTATGTATTTATTTTTGATCTATCAAAGAACAGCATTTCACATGACAACATTAAAAAAAACACACACACTAATTGGAAAGACATCCCTTGCTCTTGAATAGGATGATTCTGTATCATAAAGATGTCAGCTCTCCCTAAATTTACAATAACCTCCTTTAAAAGCTGGTGAAGTTGATTCTCAAGTTCACGTGGAAAAATCAAATCTGCACAAATAGCCAGAGACTCACAGAAAAATGACAGTTGTCCTCAGGAACCAGATGTATCTCATAATAGAACACAAAGTCTCTGTGTTTAAATACATGTAATACTGGTGCAAGTACAGAAAGTTCAGAAATAGAAATACATATAGAAATTTAGTATATCATAGAGAAGTCACCTTGAATCACTGAAGTAAAGATGGTATTTTTAAAGATTTTATTTTTAAGTCATCTCTACACCCAACATAGAGGCTCAAACTCACAACCCTGAGATCAAGAGACCAAGGCTCCACCAACGGAGCTGCTAGGGGCTTCAAATCATGGTGATTGTTAAAAAACAAGGCTGTTAACTAACTGGAATATAAATAAGAACTTTAGGGGCACCTGGGTGGTCAGTCGTGAAGCGTCTGCCTTCAGCTCGGGTCATGATCTCAGGGTCCTAGGATCGAGCTCCACCACAGTCAGGCTCCTTGCTCAGCAAGGAGTCTGCCTCTCCCTCTCCCCCTGCCTCTACTCCTGCTCTTGCTCGCTTGCTCATGTTCGCTCTCTCTCTCAAATAAAGTCTTTAGATAAATAAATGAAAACAAAAAAATTTTTAAAAACTGGTGTTGGACAACTGAGTGGTCAACTGAAAAGAGACAAAAATTAGATCCATACTTTACCCAGAAAAACAAATCCCTCCATATAAATTAGGGTCTACATGTAAAAAGTGAAACAATGCAATATGAGATGATAATCTGGGTGTGGGATGCCTCAAAATCCAGACGAAATACTAAAAAAGATCAATAAATTTGACTTGATGAAATCAAATGTTTTCGTGGTAAAGAGCATCATCATAAATGAAGTCAAACACAACTGAAACCTGAGAGAAATAAAGTTAGTATCTCTAATTTATAAATAACACCTAAAAATCCAGGAAAAAACTGACTAAAAATCCATTGGAAAAAACAGCAAAAAATATGAGGACAATTCAAAAAGTGACATAAAAATGACCCTTAAACATGTGAAAAGATGTTCTATCTCACACATAGAGAAATGTAAGTTTAAATTGCCCTGAGATATAAATTTTTAACCTATCTGATAGCCACAAATTAAAGCTGTTATATTATACCACTGGCAAGGCCATGGAGTATCAGAAACCCTCATATATTGCTGGGAGGAATACAAATTAGTATAATGTCTTTCGACAGGAGTTAAAAAAATATCTAACAGAACCAAACATGCATTTACTATGTGATATAATCAACTTCTAGGAATTTACCCTACAGATATACCTCTGAAAGGAAGAATATACATATGTACCATCATAGAAACACTGCTCACAAATGCAAAATTCTGGAAACAATCTAACAATCCATACAATGAAGACAGCCTGGATGAAGTATAGCAAATCTACACCAGGGAGGGGGATCCCTGGGTGGCTCAGCAGTTTAGCACCTGTCTTCAGTCCAGGGAGTAACCCTGGGGTCCCAGGATCCAGTCCCACGTCCGGCTCTCTGCATGGAGCCTGCTTCTCCCTCTCCCTCTATCTCTGCCTCTCTCTCTCTCTCTGTCTCTCATGAATGAATAAAATATTTATCAAAAAATCTACACTGGGGAATACTACTCAATTATAAAAATGAATAGGGAAGATCTCTATGAACAAGAAGTGATTTCCAGAAATATATTACATGAAAAAAAAAAAAAAACCTCTCATCAAAGTGCAAGACTTTGGCATGCTGCCTTTCATCCAAGAAAAGAGATGAAAGAATACATCAGCTCACTTGTGTGAGAAGAAACTCAAGAAAGGCAACCTGTCACAGAAGGGACCCAGTGGTGGAAAGGAGAGAGAGATGGGGGGCAGGAGGGTCTGGGACTTCCCTGAGTATACACTTTCTGTATAGATTTGATTTGAGAACAAGGCTATATTTCACACAGGTAAACTAACAAATACATTTATAAATAAAAATCAACAAAGATGAGATAGAATTGGCATACAATTGGAAACAATTTCATTTTAAATGAATAACATAACACACTAAAAAGAAACAAATTTAATCCAAGTGATCCTTAAACACAGGATTTTGACTATAGGCCTTCAGGCTAAAGACAAAATAGAATGGACAAACAGTACAATTCCAGGTTTGTTTTCTACTGCGTTACAGGTCAACAATAATGAAACTAATGTGTGAGTGCTGGGTAAACACTACACTGGGTAAATTACTAGTACTGAGTAAAATACTACCCTGGATAATGAGAGCCAGGTTTCTCAGAGTGGGTGAAATTGCTATAAATGTGGTGAGTGGGAAGGCCAGAGTGAGCATGGTGGTGCTGGACTACAATAGAAGACCATAGTTTGGACACAGAGGTACAGACATAGGTACAGACCCCCGTTTTACTCTACTCTGCAAATGCTGCATTTCTTATTTTTATTTTTTAACACAAATCGAAGGTTTATGGCAACCCTGTGTGGCACCAGTCTACCGGCACCATTTTTCCAACAGCATTTGCTCACTTCATGCCTCTGTGTCACTCTTCGGGAACTCTCAAAATATTTCAACCTTGTCCATTTATTTGTAACGGTGACCTGTGATCAGTGATCTTTAATGTCAACACCATAATGTGGGGGTACCATGAGCCATGCCCATAGAAGACGGGCAACGTGACTGATAAATGTTGTATGTGCTCTGACTGCTCCAGGGACCAGCCATCCCCCCATCTCTCTACTCCTCTTGGAGCCCCTCTAGGCCCTGAGACATGACCCTATTGACATTAAGACAATGGATGACCCTACTGTGGCCTCCAAGCATTCAAGTAAAAGGAAGAGTCACACATCTCTCACTTTCCATCGAAAGCTAGACATGAAGCTTCCCCCGAACACCCGTCAAAACCCAAGACAGGCCAGAACTGAGGCCTCTTGTGCCAAATGAGGAGCCCAGGTCTGAAGGCAAAGGAAATGTTCTTGAAGGACATTCCAAGGGATACTCCCTTGAACTCCCTTGAATGATGAGAAAGTGAAACAGCCTCACTGCTGACATGGAGAGTCTGGTCTGGATGGAAGCTCAAACCAGTAACAACATTCCCTTCTGCCAAAGCCTCACCCAGAGCCAGGCCCTGACTCTTCAGTTGTGCACACGCTGAGCAGCTGTGAGGAAGCTGCAGAAGGAAAGCTGGAAGCTGGCAGAAGGTGGCGGGGGTAAGGACAGAAGCTGTCTCCATCATGTAAACGTGCAAGGTGAAGCAGCGAGTGCTGACAGAAAAGCTGCAGCCAGTGATCCCGAAGATCCAGCGAGTGCACGGAGGTGCTCACACTCAACTACAGATTTTCCATACAGATGAAACAGTCTTCTGTGGGAAGATGCCATCTAGGACTTTCACAGCTAGAAAGAAGGCAATGTCTGCTGCAAAGCTTCAAAGGACAGGTAGACTTTGTTAGGGGCTAATGCAGCCGGTGACTTTAAGTGGAAACCAATGTTCATTGACCCTTCTGAAAAGCAGCCCTTGGCAATCATGCCAAATCTCCACCGACGCGCTTTACATTGAACAACAAAGCCGGGGACAGCACATCTGTTTATAACATGGGTGATGGAATATTTTAAGCCCATGGTGGAGATTTACTGCTCAGGAAAAATCATTCCTTGCAAAACATTACTGCTGGATGGCACTGCACCTGATTACCATGAGCTCTGAGGCAGATGGAGAAGATTCACATCACTTTTGTGCCTACTAACACAACGTCCATCTTAGCCCATGGAGCAACAGGTAATTGACTTTTTTTTTCCCTAAAGATTTTATTTATTTATTCATGAGAGACACACACACACAGAGAGGCAGAGACACAGGCAGAGGGTGAAGCAGGCTCTCTGTGGGGAGCCTGATGTGGGACTCAATCCCAGGACCCTGGGATCATGATCTGAGCTGAAGGCAATCACTCAATCATAGTCCTCAATCACTGAGCTACCTAGGTGCCCCAATTTTTCACAATTTGCATATTTAACTCAATAACAATTAAATTTTTAGCAGGCTTTTTGAAATCAAGAAGCTGACTGAAACTGATGTGGAAATGCAAGGAACTCAGAATAGGCATAACAGTATTGAAGAATACAGTTGGAGGATTTACAGTACCTAAAATGCTACAGGAAGTACAAAATTGTATATTAGCATAAAAATAATCAAGAAGGGGCAGCCCCGTGGCTCAGCGGTTTAGCGCAGCCTACAGCTCAGGGCGTGATCCTGGAGACCCAGGATTGCGTCCCACATCAGGCTCCCTGCATGGAACCTGCTTCTCTCTCTGCCTGTGTCTCTGCCTCTCTCTCTCCTCTCTGTGTATTCTCATGAATAAATAAATAAAATCTTTAAAAAAATTAAAAAAATAAACAAGAAGCATCCAGGAATATATTTAGACAATAGGGTCAACTGGTTTTTTACACTAAAGCCAATGCAACATACTGGGGGAAAGATAATCTTTTCAAAAAATGGTGAAGTCAGGTAGTTCTAGGTTGGAGAAAAAAAAAAAAAGAGCTTTGACTCTTTCTGAGACCATATATAAAAATTAACTAAAAATGGACCCCAAACCTAAATATCAAGAGCTTACCCTATATAACTTAAAAAAAGGATAATAATGTAGTGTTGCAAATATCTCTTAAATACAACACAAAAAGTACAACTATAAAGGAATTAACTTTTCATCATTAAAATATAAAATGTACAGAAGGAACAAGCCTCAACATCATCAAAGCCACATACAAAAGACTCAGAGCTAGTATCATCCTCAATGAGGAAAAATTCAGAGCCCTCCCCCTACAGTAAGGAACATGACAGGATGTCCACTCTCACCATTACTATTTTAACACAGTACTGGAAATCCTCATCACAGTAATCATACAACAAAAAGAAATAAAGGCATCCAAATCAGCAAGGAAGAAATCAAACTCACTATTTTCAGGCAACATGATACTCTATGTAGAAAACCTGAAAGACTCCACCAAAAAATTGCTAAAATTGACACAAATTCAGCAAAGTCACAGGATATGAAACCAACATACAGAAATCTGTTGCATTTCTCTACACCAATAATGAAGCAGCAGTAAAAGAAATCAAGGAATTGATCCTATTTACAAATGAACCAAAAATAGTAAGATACCCAGGAATAAACCTAAGAGGTAAAAGATCTGTACTCTGAAAACTATAGAACACTTATGCAAGAAATTGAAGACGACACAAAATGGGAAAAAATTTCATGATCATGTTTGTTCCTAAAACGTTAAAATGTCTATACTCCCCAAAGCTATCTATATATTTAATGCAATCTCTATCAAAATACCAACAGAGCTAGAAGAAACAATCCTAAAATTTGTATGGAACCACAAAAGACCTCAAATAGCCAAAACAATTCCGAAAAACCAAAGCAAAGCTGGAGGCCTCACAACTTCAGACTACAAAGTCATATTACAAAGCTGTGGTCATGGGCAGCCCCAGTGGCACAGCGGTTTAGTGCCGCCTACAGCCCAGGGCATGATCCTGGAGACACTGGATCGAGTCCCACATCGGGCTCTCTGCATGGAGCCTGCTTCTCCCTCTGCCTGTGTCTCTGCCTCTCTCTCTCTCTGTGTCTCTATGAATAAATAAATAAAATCTTAAAAAAAAAAAAGACAAAGCTGTGGTCATCAAGACAGTATGTTACTGGCATTAAAGCACACACATAGATCAACAGAACAGAATACAGAACCCAGAAATGGACAACCCACAACCATACGGTCAACCAATCTTTGACAGAGTAGGAAAAAATATCCAAAGGAAAAAAGTCTCTTGAACAAATGGTGATGGGAAAACTGGACAGTAACATGCAAAAGAATGAAATTAGGCCACTTGCTTAAACCACACACAAAAATAAATTCAAAATGGATGAAAGACCTGGGGTGCCTGAGTGGTTTAGTGGGTTGAACGTCTGACTCTTGGTTTCTGCTCTGGGGGTGATCTTGGGATTGTGTAATAGAGCCCCATTTGGGCTCCGCGCTTGGTGTGGAGTCTGCTTCTGATTCTCTCTCCCCTTCTCCCTCTGCCCCTCCTCCCATTTACACACAACACTCTCCCTCTAAAAATAAGTAAAATCTTTAAAAAAAAAAAAAGATGAAAGATCTAAATGTGAGACAAGAAACCATCAAAATCCTAGAGAACACAGGAGGAAACCTCTTTGACCTCAGCCACAGCAACTTATTAGCCATGCTGCCAGAGGCAAAGGAAACAAAAGCAAAAATGAACGATTGGGACTTGGTCAACATAAAAAGCTTCTACATAGAGAAGGAAACAATAAAACTAAGAGGCAGCATAGGGAACGGGAGATGTCATGCGCAAATGACATAATCTGATAAAGGGTTAGTATCCAAAATCTATAAATAATTTACCAACTCAACACCCAAAAAGCAAATAATATAGTTAAGAAATGGGCAGAAGATATGAATAGACACTTTTCCAAAGAAGACACACAAATGGCTAACAGACACATGAAAAGATGCTCAACATCACTTGGCATGAGGAAAATACAAATTAAAGCCACAAAAAGAAATCACCTCACACCTGGCAGAGTAACTAAAATTAACAAGACCAGAAACAACAGATGATTGTAGGGATGAGGAAAAAGGGGAACCCTACTGCACTGTTGCTGGGAATGGAAACTGGTGTAGCCACTGTGGAGAACAGTGTGGAGGTTCCTCAAGAAGTTAAAAATAGAGCTACCCTATGACCCAGCAATTGCACTACTGGGTATTTACTCAAAACATACAAAAATACAAAAAAAAAAAATACATATTAGAAGGGGCACATGCACCCCGATGTTTATAACAGCATATCAACAAAGCCAAACTATGGAAAGAGCCCAAATGTCCATCGACAGAAGATGTGGTGTGTGTCTGTGTGTCTGTGTGTGTGTGTATGTATATATATATATATATATATATATATATATATATATATGATGGAACATTACTCAGTCATCGGAAAGAATGAAATCTTGCTATTTGCAATGATGTGGATGGAGTTAGAGGGTATTACGCTAAGTGAAATGAGTCAGAGAAAGAAAAATGCCATATGATTTCACCCATATGGGAAAATTAGGAAACAAAGAAAGATGAACATATGGGAAGTTAAAAAAAAAAAAAAAAAAGGAAGAGAGAGGGAAGCAAACCATAAGAGACTCTTAACTCCAGAGAACAAACCGAGGGTTGATGGAGGGAAGAGGGTGGGGGAGGAGCTAGATAGGGAATGGGCATTAAGGAGGGCACTTGTGAGGAACACTGGGTGTTGTATGTAAGTGATGAATCACTGAATTCTATTCCTGCAACCAATATTACACTATGTATTAACTTACTAGAATTTAAGTAAAAATGTGGAAGCAAAAGAATGTTTCCCAGTCAAAAGACATTGATAAGAAAATAAGACAAGCCACATGGAGGAAAAGATTGCAAAACAGAAATGTGACAACTTATACCTACAATATATACTCATAATTCAATAACAATACAAAAAATCATTTTAAAAATAGGCAAAAGAGGGCAGCCCTGGTGGTGCAGCGGTTTAGTGCCACCTGCAGCCCACGACGTGATCCTGGAGACCCGGGATCGAGTCCCACGTCAGGCTCCTGCATGGAGCCTGCTTCTCCCTCTGCCTGTGTCTCTGCCTCTCTCTCTCTCTGATGAATAAATAAAAATCTTTTTAAAAAATAAATAAAAATAGGCAAAGGCTATGAACACTTTACCATGAAAATATGTGGAAGGCAAATCAGGTTATACAAAATTGCTCAACTTATTAGTCATTGTGAAAATATAAATTAGAATATGAGATACCACAACATACCTCCCTGGAATGGCTAAATTAAAAAGTCTGATCAAACCAAATGCCAAGGAGGGCGTGGAGAACCTAGAATTCTCAGGCTCTGCCTAAGGACTGTGATACGGCACAACCTATATGGAACACAGTGTGGGGCTTTCCTCTGCAGGTGCTCAGCCACTCTGATCTAGCCTATTCTCCCTAGAGAAACAAAAGCATTACATCCACACAGACTCTACATAAATGTTCACAGCAGCTTTCCCAGGAAATAGCCAGAAAACCTGGCTGAAACTGAAAACCAAAAACCCATAGGACTATATTAATACCATGAAATACTACTCTATAATAAAAAGGAATGGACTGCTGATACATGTGATAATAGATGAATTTCAAAATAATCATGCACAGTGGAAGAAGCTGGATAAAAGCATATCAGTTTGTATTTTTATGGTTTTGTTTCCCAATTTAGAAATGCCCACGTGCCTGTTGTGTGTTTGCTTAAGTGGTTCTGTATACTGTGAAGAAGTTGACATTGATGCTGTACCACCCTTGCCAAAGGAATCAGCCTATCTTTATGCACGATTCAACAAAATTAAAAAGCTGACTGCGAGAGATTTTGCAGATATACGTAAGTTAATTTTAAATAATTCATTTTAACTCATGTTAGTATTAACCTCATATAAACACACATTTTTAGGCACTTGTGACCCATCACATCTAGGGTAGTCACTGCTGGAGTATTTAAGTATCGACATACTTCACAAAAATCGACTGGTTTGTTGGTTCATCTCCTATCCATTTCAAGTGTCCCCTCTCATCTTTATTAGTGACTTCAATGTCTATGTTCACAGCCCATCTAACATTTGGGCAACTATGCCTTCTCAACCTCAGGACTTTGAGACTCGTTTGCCTCAGCCCAGCAGGAGCACCAGCATAGTTGGAGTGCTTCTCTAAACCCAATGACTGATTCACAATGCTACCTTCACCACAAGCACAGAGTCTGCTTTTCTGTACTCTAACTCAGGGTTCTTAAACCTGGCTGTGTACTAAAAATATAAATACTGCTACCAGGCCCTAGTCTCCAGAGATTTCAATTTAGGAGAGGCCCAGGCATGGTCACAAACCAGCACCAAATTCCTCACACAATTCCCATGTGGAGCTAATGCATTTTTTAACCCCTTTCTGGGATGCTGGCCTCTAGGGCCCCTGCCGTGAGTGCACCACATTGCCCCACTTCTGTATTGCCAAGTCCCAGGCCTAGATCACAACTTCTAAAGAATCCTCTCGCCTGCTATGTTGTCAGGTGCATCCAAAGAAAATCACGCCCAGAAACGCACACTGGTCCACTGCACATTTAGGAGATCCACCTTAAGAGCATTCACGCTGTAACTGGTAGCTCCCAACCGGTCCAAGGACAATTTTGCCTCTTTAGTTGTGGATGTACACTTTCAAACTCACCTACTTGGTAAAATTTGTGACCCAAAGTCTCTATATGTAGACATGTGCATGGTGGCAACACACCTGGGTTACCCAGCCAATGTCAAACAAAGTGACCTCTGCCATCCTGTATCAGCTCTTACACTGTAAAGTGTCCTGTCCAGTCTTCTGAGCATCACACCTTCCAAACTGCTTGCTTTTTCCTATTTAACGTGGTCCCCAAGCGCAGTGCTCAAGCTGCTCACAAAGACACTGTGTGAGGTCATCTTCATTCCAGCGTGAGCTGCAGTGCTCATGGCCATGATGAGTTCAATGTTAACGTATCACTGATATATACTAACTACAGTGCTTTTCAACAGAAACATGCATAGAATTTTGTACCAATTGGTTGATGTAAATGTGTGACCAGAGGCTCATAGGAACCCAACCCTGTATATTCCCAGGGAGCAATGGTCCATAGTCATTAACTCAGTGTTTGCAGGGACCACCACAAATAATGAATGAGAAGCGACTCCATTTCCTTACCATCCTAGACATATAAAAGTCAAACACACAAACTGAATGTCTGCATCTGCATCACTTTAACAAATTAGGGAATGTTCCTATTTGTTGTTATTAAGCAGTAAGGTATAGAGAGATTAAGATAGCATACCTACACTCACAATGCAACATGCTGCTGTAAAGTCCAAAATATACCTACATGATTCTATTCAATCAAATATTATGCTTACTTCCTATGATTTGCAACCAGAATTTGTTTCAAACTGCCTCAGCATCCTGAGAATTCAAACACAGAAGGATGAAAGGACACTATGAACTTTAAGTTTCCTTCCAACCCTGAGATTCCAGGACTTGAGTGAGAAAGGCCATCAGGACCAAGCACAGAGCAGATGCTCACCTTGAGTTCAACAATGTTTACTAATCTACTAATTACACTCTATTAGATACTAAAAATAAAAGGTATTTGAATGACCTGTTAAACCAATGCTTTTCTTCAGTCCACATAAATGAAACTTTAACTTCAAATTTTTTGTATATTTTCTGTGTATTTTTCCTTCAAGCTAACTTAAGACGACTTGATTTTACGGGAAATCTGATTGAAGACATAGAAGATGGTACTTTTTCAAAACTTTCTCTGTTAGAAGAACTTACACTAGCTGAAAATCAACTGTTGAAACTTCCAGTTCTTCCTCCTAAGCTCACTTTATTTAATGCAAAATACAACAAAATCAAGAGTAGAGGAATCAAAGCAAATACTTTCAAAGTAAGTATTTTATACTATGACCAAACACAGTATCAGTTTTATACAACCAATGATGATATGATAAAAGAAATACTGTTCTAAAATTTTTATATTTAAAAACTATTTTAATTTCATAAATGAAGACATTATTTCCACAATAAATAGTCTTATTATTGGGCTCATTCAATCTAGTTTTCGTGCACCTCACTTGAAATACATAACTTTACCTTGTTTCTTGGGACTACATTGTGTTGCAGCTTTTTCATCTGTTCACACAGCAAATACTCATTTACACAGATGTGGTTTGTACCCTCATGGCACCAGAATGCTATAAAACCTCAAAATGGGAGTTTTCCTGTGTTTCTTTTCCTTACCATATTAGTAATTTACACATGCCAGAAAATTACTGTTCCAAAAATAAACACTGAATTTTACTTTTACTACTGAAAAATATTAGCCCATAAAATTCTATAGACTTTCTTTTGAATTCTAATAATCACTACTAGTATAAAATCCTATATGTACTAACATTAAATACATTTCTTAATTTAATAACTCAAGATACAGGTACAGGAAAAAGATAAGGTAGCTAGGCTGTGTCCAAATGCACAGCCTATGGAGAAATCACTGTTTCAGCCCAGTCCTGCACAGGTGATAACCCGCTCCCGGTCCTGGGAGGAACCCCAGATAAAAAGATGATTGTGCTACTATTGGCAGCAGACCTCATCAAAAGGGAAGTTTGTGGCTTCTAGTGATAACAACTAATAGAAACTCTATCAAGTATTATAAAGTTAATCATAATCACACAAAAGTACAATTTGTCCACAAATGAATAATCTGTCAGAAGATGTAAAAATACTCCATTTTTCTTTTTTGTTTGTTTGTTTACACTTAAGGAGTTCTTTTTCAGCTGTAAGGAACATTATTCTAAAGGCACATCAGAGTTCCTCAAAAGTTAAGGGATTATCAGGAGACTTTTCAAAACAGGACTCACATTAAAAACAAACAAACAAAAAAATCCATATAATGTGAAGCTATGTGATTCCGACTGGTAAGTCATTGACTAACTGGAATAGTAAAGACCAAAAAGGAGTGGATCAACAATTCACAAAAGAAGGGTTTGAATATTCTGAATTTTATACTTGCATTTCATCTTGAAATCATAAAACAATACACAGCAATGAGCTTGCTGATCATGAAGAGTAATTCAACATAGACCTTTCCAGGGAAAAAGTCAAACCTCACTAAAGTATTTAATAAATTGCTCTGGGAAACATCTTACTAACAAGCACATCAGTTAGGAGCATGGGCACACATCATTTTATTGTGCGTCATTTTACTGTGCTTCACAGAGACTGTGTTTTTACAAACTGAAAGTCTGTGCCAACCCTGCATGGAGCAAGTCCACTGGCGCCACTTTTCCAACAGCATTTGCTCACTGCGTCTCTGCACATTTTGCTAATTCTTGCAATAATTTAAGCTTTTTTATTATTATTACATTTGTTATGGTGATCTGTCATTAGGAATTACAACTCACTGAAAGCTCAGATGATGGTTAGCTTTTAGCTGTATTCTTTAATTAGGATATGTACACTGTTAGACTTAACACTACTGCACACTTCATAGACTGCAGTATAGTGTAAATGTACCCTTAATATACAACAGGAAACCAAGAAATTCACTGCACTCACTGTATTGTAATATTTGTTTTATTGTGGTGGTCTGGGACTGAACCCACAATACCTCTAAGATATGTCTGTATTTATTTTGCTAGAAATCAGGTCAGATGAGTGGAGAGAAATGTGGGGATGCAGGAGGGCATTATCATCCTTCATAAAGGACGAAAATACACTACTTCTGAAAACAAAAAAATCCTCAAAACCAAATAACTACCAAACCAGCAATTAATAGCACTGATAGGTGTTACACCAATACCTGTATACACTTGTATACACACATATATCTATTCACGTACACAGGTACACACATGTATATGCATGTACATGTGTACACAGCAGGAGTCCTGTGAAAGTAATGTACTGACCTCAGTGATGCTCAAGCCAAGTACCTTTTCCTTACAGAAACTGAACCACCTCTCCTTCCTCTACTTGGACCACAATGCCCTGGAATCTGTGCCTCTTAATTTACCAGAAAGTCTCCGTGTAATTCATCTTCAGGTAGGATTGCTCCTTTCATAATATCTGACTTTAAATTACTACTGGTCAGTCTTGGGACTCATTAGGAAATTCATTTATTCACATGTAAACTTTGCCTATTGAAATATTACTATATTTAGAGTCCAGCTCATTCACCTGCCTGAAAGCCCCGGCTGTCCAGAGAACCAAGAAAGGATCAGCAACCTAGGTATAAGGCCTATTGTTAGAGTACAGTCTGTTGTCAGGTGTGCATTTAGCATCTCCCAGTTAATCTGACACATGGGGAGGCCTGGGTGGCTCAGGGGTTTTAACGTCTGCCTTCCGCCCAGGGTGTGATCCTGGAGTCCCAGGATCGAGTCCCACATCGGGCTCCCTGCATGGAGCCTGCTTCTCCCTCTGCCTGTGTCTGTCCCTGCCTCTGTGTGTGTTTGTCTCATGAATAAATAAAATCTTAAAAAAAAAAACTAAGCTAAAATTGGTCTTTCATCAACACAAGAATTCACATTTGTCCTTTTTACTTTTTTAAGGAATTTTTAAGGACATGGTACCCATTTTGAATTGACACTCTAGAATGGGATGGTTTCTCTAGCTAGTATAATCTTATTTATGCTTAGAATTTTCTGCCACATGGATATTACCCTGAGTAATATGTAATGTATTCTTCCAACGTAATACCATAGGTGTAAAAAGGCGGGGGTTGGAGGGAGACTCTGGTCGTGCTGAAAGAGTTTTATTATTACGAGGATACACAGGATGCACAATATTTTCAAAATCAATTTTTAGATAGAATATTCTGCAAGATCCTATTACATAGCATACAAAAGGCTGATTTCAAACTTCTGAACAATTTTTCCCTTCTATTTTTCAGTTTAACAACATAACTTCAATCACAGATGATACATTCTGCAAGGCTAATGACACCCGTTATATTCGGGACCGCATTGAAGAGATACGCCTGGAGGGCAACCCCATTGTCCTGGGAAAGCATCCCAACAGTTTTATCTGCTTGAAAAGATTGCCTGTAGGGTCATACTTTTAACCACTACCAATGCAGCATATAAACCAAAGTATACACATGCATATAATCTGTCTCAACAATGTCTAAAGGAGCATAAATATTTAATATTAATTTTGTATCCCACTATGAGGAATTTTACGTTTTAAACAAGGATGTTCAAAAATCTTACGCATAATAAGCAAAATTGAATCCAAAGTTCAAAACAAAGTAATGTAAAAATATTTAAACAGCATTATAAAATCCTTATAGTTTATACCATACTGCCATTTAAAAGGTATGTTTTTCATATAAATACCCAAATTTAAGAAGCATTATTTCCATTAATATTGAAATGAAAGGATTAAGTCCAAGAAACTTTCAACTATTTGTCTTTCCTGGCCTTTACTGGATCCCTAAAGCATTTAAGGAAGAAGTTCCAAAAACTTTGAAAAACTAAGTATTTCCAGTGATCTCCCATTTTTCTTTTATGATTCACACATTATTCATTATGAAGTAGGAACTCTGTTTTCCCTCTATTAAGGCAGCTATTATATTTTTCTACCCTGAGAAATAGGGTACTACTCTCCTATCTAGGCAAACCTTTCCAAATAAAGCATAATTTTACTCTCTGATAAAGACCTAATAGAGTAGTATGCAAAGTTATTTTGCTTTGTAGTCACACAGTTAAAGGCTTTAGTAAAACAGTACAAAATTTTCCTTCCTGTAAATATTAACATTCCAAGTCTACCATAAAACATTTTAAGGAGTCAAGCAGACCACAATCAGTATGCTCATAAAACAAAACGAAGAAGTTGAATGTCCATTCTATTTCTCAAAAAATAGCTATGAAGTTCCTCATTGTAAAGGCTTTCAAATATGACAGATACTGAGGAATCCTTTTTTACCACCATAGCAATGAGAATCTCGTGGTTAAATCTGTTCAAATGTAAGACATGAAAACAGTTCATTTTATGGTGTTACTGCACACCACAGTCATGCAAACTGACTGTATCTTCACAAGAAAGCTTTGGAGCAACATTTTCTAAAGACTCAGGATTAACTGATCATTTCACAGTGTGAATTCATCTGCACTCTAATAGTGATGACTCATGATGGAACAACGCTGCAGGATTAAATTTCCTAAAATAACCTTCCCTCTTGCCCAAAACCCACTCAAAAGTCCCCACACTGCACTGGGGTTACTTCCAAAACTACCAGTGCTTTGGACACACGAGTCTGAACTATGTACATAAAAATTTCCAATACTGTTTCCAACATAAATCATACATTAGAATCAAGTTGGTCTCCATTTACCATTCCCAAAACAAATAGCTATTCATATTTTTAAACATTTGTTTCTGGCTTTCCTTAAGTAGAATGAGCTCCTATCTGTTTTTCAATCTTTCTCCCCTTTGTCAAGGTTGACCAAAAGATGAGACTTTTTCATTAAAACATCTGTGATCTCTTAAGGTCATAATAATTACCCCTATACTAGTTCTTAATTCATTTATTTTGATAGTAATCATTAACTATATACTAGTTTCTCATTATTTTGTGTGCATGCCTCATTTTTCTGAAAGCTCACTAAACACATCCAATATTCTCTTTATACTTTCAATGTACCTAGCATAATAGTGAGCAAATCTGAACTGAATATGCATGAATAGTGCAAAATAAAATTCATTTAAACCAAGGGCTCTGTTTTATTGGGGAAAAATAGAATTTTCATCACAATTTTGAATAAATGAATGGAACCAAATTATAACTTTATCTGGAAAAATAAATTTGATAAAAAGGAGAGCTGAGTGGTGGGACTAACACCAGGAAAAGTGGTCAGAGGAGACATCTCTCATGTTTCTCTCACTCTTTACCTAACTGAAATTAGAGAGGGGGAAAAAAAACCAAAGTAACTCAAATTTTAGAGAATTCAAAAGAATGTGATTTACATAAAATAATTAGGAAAGAACACTGGTAGGAGGTCTGAATTACAGAATTATCTTAAAAGACTGTTTCAGACTTCCAGATAAGAAGATATGAATAGAAGTACCTGACAACTGGGATTCCTGGGTGGCGCAGCGGTTTAGTGCCTGCCTTTGGCCCAGGGCGCGATCCTGGAGACCCGGGATCAAATTCCACGTCGGGCTCCTGGTGCATGGAGCCTGCTTCTCCCTCTGCCTATGTCTCTGCCTCTCTCTCTCTCTCTGTGTGTGTGTGTGTGTGTGTGTGTGACTATCATAAATAAATTTTAAAAAAAAGTACCTGGCAACCTCATATATGCCATTTGGTCACAAATAAAGGAATAAGGGAAAGTAAAATTTTGTTGATCCCATTATCTCAAAGAAATAGTATTCATTCTTGACACTGATAATTAAAGAAATTAAGGTTTAGGAACACTGGGTGGCTCAGCGGTTGTGCGTCTGCCTTTAGCTCAGGGCGTGATCCCAGAGTCCTGGGATGAAGTCTTGCACTGGGTTCCCACAGGGAGCCTGCTTCTCCCTCTGCCTTTGTCTTTGCCTCTGTGTGTCTCTCATGAATAAATAAAATCTTAAAAAAAAAATTAGGGTCTAAAAATAATTTACCCTTACAAACGTTCCTGAAACTAAAGAAGCCGTGCGCCAACAGGGGGGACACCCTGTGTCTATGGGCTGGAAGACAGAACAGTTACTATGTCCGCATCACTCACTGCAATCCAGACTCAGCATAGTCCCTATCAAAGCCCCAATTACATATTTTGAAGAAACAGAAAAACCCACGCTAAAATTCATAAGGAATCTCAAGGGACTCCAAATAGGCAAAAGAAATTAGAAAAGAGTAAGATTGGAGAACTCACACTTTCTCATTTCAAAAGTGAATTACAAAGCTACATTAATCAAAAGTGTGGTACTGGCCTGGACAGGAACATATAAGACAATAGAAGAGACCAGGGATCCGAGAAACAAAACTTTGCATTTACAGTCAAATGACTTTCAACAAAGGTGTCAACCTAGGAAAATCAGATATCCACATGCAAAAGAATGCAGGTGAACCCCTAGCTTTATATGTATACAAAAGTTTAATTCAGGGCAGCCCCGGTGGCGCAGCGGTTTGGCGCCGCCTTCAGCCCGGGGTGTAATCCTGGAGACCCGGGATCAAGTCCCACATCGGGCTCCCTGCATGGAGCCTGCTTCTCCCTCTCCCTCTGCCTGTGTCTTTGCCTCTCTCTATGTGTGTCAATAAATAAATAAAATCTTAAAAAAAAAGTTTAACTCAAATTGGATCAAACACCTAAACTTAAATTTACAAGCTTAAGCTATTCAATGTCTTTATGACATTGAATTTGACAATGATTTCTTGGATATGACATCAAAATCACAGATAACAACAAAAATCAATAAACTAGATGTCATCAAAATTAAAAATTTTTGCACATCAAAGGATACTATCAAATGAAAAGACAATTCAAAGAATGGGGAAAAATATTTGTCAATTACATATTTGATAAAAGATTAGTATCTAGAATATATTTTTTAATCTCCTATAACTCAACAAGAAAAAAAACAACACAATTTAAAAATGGGCAAAGAATTTTTTTAAAATATGGCTTAATTTTTTTTTAAGATTTATTTATTCATGACAGACACAGAAAGAGACAGAGACATAGGCAGAGGGAAAAGCAGGTTCCCTGCAGAGAGCCCTCATATAAGACTCCATCCCATGACTCCAGGATCATGACCTGGTCGAACCAAAGGCAGATGCTCAACCGCTGAGTCACCCAGATGTCCCAAAAAATTGGCCAAGAATTTAAATAGGCATCTCTCCAAAGATCTATCAATGGCACAAATAAGATCTATGCACATGAAAAGATGCTCAACCATCCATTAATCATTAGGTAAATGCAAATCAAAATCACAATGAAAATACTACTTTACATCCATTAGGTTGGCTATGAGCTCCAAAAATCAAAACAAAGACCCAAAACATTGGCAAGTATGTGGAGAAACTGGAAGCTTTATGCATTGTTGTTGGGAATGTAAAATAATATAACCACTGTGGAAGAGAATATGAGATGCTTCAGAAAATTGGACAGAATTACCATATATGACCCAATAATTCCATTTACAGGTATTTATGTGCTAGAACTGAAAGCAGGACTTGAACAGGTATCCGTACACCAATGTTCACAGACGCATTATTCACAATAGTCCAAAGATAGAAATAAAGCAAATGTCCATCAAAAGATGAATGAATAAACAAAATGAGGGATATCCATACAGTGGAAGGAATATTATTCAGCCTTAGAAAGTAAGGAAATTCTTCACTGTGCTACAAAATGGATAAACCTTGAGAATATTATACTGAGAAAAATAAACCAAACAAAACTTATTAGATTTTATGATTCTGCTTAAATGAGATACCTAGAAATTCACAGAAACAGAAAATGGAATGGTGATTTCCAGGAGCTGGGAGAGGAGGGAATGCCAAGTTAGTATTTAATGGGAACAGTTGCAGTTTGAGACCTAAGAAGTTCTGGAGATAAATATCGGTGATGGCTGCAAAACAGAGTGACTGTTTCTTTCCATTCTAGTGACGTATCACCAACAAAGACCAGCTCACAGAAGTACTAAATCCTTTACACTTTTACACTTGCCTTGAAAGCACCTAGAGGCAAATTAACTTTATAAATGGGACTAGCACTCACAATTCCCACAGCCTATTCAAATGTAGAAGTAAACCAGCTAGTTAGGTGGTGCATTACCACCACCGCCAGCATACTCCCAATCATGACTGTATTTTACCAGTTGTTGTGAAGCAGTTATTTCACTGTTCTCATGCAAGAGCACATGCCAGTAAACAACAGTAAGAGAATTCCTCCAGGGACCACAGTACAGGTATAGGCATATTTCATCCTAAAAAAAATTCTATGCCTGACAGGTTTTACTAGCTCAACCAAACAGAATGCAAATAATAACAGTAGTAGTGGTAATAGTAATAATGATAATAAAAAAGAATCCAAATAAATAGTACCAGTGATAAAAACAATACTCATGAAGCATTATTAGTTAGCTTTTTGAGATACTATTCTGACTCTTTCAGAAGTGGATTTTGTGTGGACCACTGCTGTCAATATTGCTGCCATACAACTAAGTAGAACGTGATGGAATGTAATGCAGCCAAACATAATTCTAGTTATGCCAGAAAATAGAATAAAAGGAAGTCCTTGAATGTATCCGTATTAGACTTAAGAGGCATTACTATACCAGAATCAGGTTTCAATACTTAAACCTGAAATATACAATAATTAGAAACTCAAAATACACAGAGTATGACTCCAGAAGTAAAGATTATAGTGCTAGGTGATAAGACCACTATGATTACATTCTTTTCAGCATTTGTATTTTACTTCAAGTGCCCTTGACAGATTAATTTTTCAAAATGTGTATAAAATAAGAATATAACTGCTTCTTTCCAGATATCCCATAATACAAATGACTCACTGGTTTGTACAAAGGCATTCCTAAGACCTCATTTATTTCAAATAACTGCAAATTCCAGAAGCCAATGAAAATATTTTCTATTGTTTGAAAACTTTAAGGAAAGAATTTTATGTTAAATCCCCAAATTAATACCAGCTTCACTTTTTGGATATGTTTAAATTTAAACTAGCTTCACTTTTCAAATATATTTAAATGTAAAAACTTCAAACTCACCTTCAAGTGTTGAAATGTGCGCTTACGATAGTCACACCACTCCACAAAAAAGCGTAGGCTTCGGAAAAACATCAATAGATCTCTTCTTTCTTCTGCTCTGTAGGAATAGAAGATTCTAGGATTCATAAATATCCTAAATGAATGCCTCATCCTGGCATTTTTAATCTTGTTTTTTATATACCCTAAAGCTAAAAAAAGTACTTGATATATTTCTGTATTTTGAAATCTTGAGTATGTGCCCTTGTGTGGTTGCTAATTCTAATTTCTTAGTCTGAAATGCCATTTGCCCCATCTTAAAATGTTTGAATCCTATTCATCTTTTAAGATATTACTCAAATACCACATTGTCCTTGAATTCTATTTGATGACCATGGTATATAATTAAAGACTAGGGACGCCTGGGTGGCTCAGTGGTTGAGTATCTGCCTTTGGGTTGGGGCATGATCCCGGAATCTGGGATCAAGTCCCATGTTGGGCTCCTTGCGGGAGGCCTGCTTCTCCCTCTGCCTGTGTCTCTGTCTCTCCGTGTCTCTGATGAATAAGTAAATAAAAGCTTAAAAAAATAAAGACTATTTCTGGTCTATATCCCTTGTTTCGGGCATAGAGCTTCCAAAACACTTGGAATTCCTTAGTGACAAGTATGTATCTCTTATGTTAATGAGGTGACACCTGGTGGCCCCTAGATAGCCTCAGGATGGGGGCTGGCCACCACAAAGACTAACCACATGCTTAGCAGGTTTGAAATTTGGGCCAACCAGACCTCCAGAAAGGACAGGGGGCTGGAGTAGTTTCATCACCGGGCCAATCATCCCATCAACTATGCCACTGTAATGAAAACTGAACAAAAATTCTGCACAATAAAGCTCAGTGGAGCTTTCTGGTTGGTGAACATGCTGATGTACCAGGAGGCTGATATGCTCAGATTCCACAGGGAGAGGGCCTAGAACCTCTAGGTTTTTCCTTCTCCAACCCACTCAACCTGCCCCATATCTTGACTTACAGACTGCTTCCATCTGCCTATTCCTGGGTATAGCTTTTACAATAAAATGATAATCTTTACTATAATACTCTCAGTGAGTTTTCTCAGTCCCTCTGACAAACTAGCAAATCTTAGTGGGTGGTGGGAAGTACAGATGGTCCCTGATGCTTGTGTATGGCGTCTGAAACGGGCAGTCTTGTTCAGGACTTAGTCATTAACCTGCAGGTCTGCACTAAATCTTAGTTGGTGTCAAGACTGAATTGAATTACAGGACATTCCAGTTGGTGTCAGAGATTATTGTCTGAACAATGACCTCACCCCCACACCATGTCCTATTTCAAAATAGCTAGAAATAATTTCATTCCTATTTTCTGCGAGCTCCCATGGAATTTATCTCGATGCTCTTAATACTCTACCTATTGTTTTATTGACACCCACAAAATAAGCAATTTGTAGGCAAAATGAGCGTATTCACTTATCCATTCATTCAATAAATGATTGTGGGAGTTGAGTTCCCATACTAGTCATGAGGGAGACTAGTCATGAGGGAGACGAGGGAGAGGGAGAGGGAGAGGGAGAGGGAGAGGGAGAGGAGAGGAAGAGGAAGAGGAAAAGGAAAAGGAAAGGAAAGAAGTCTCAAGGAAAGATTATTCCCTCTAGCCAACAGGGGTCGTATAAAACGAGTAAAGGAGGTACAGTGCTGTTGGTGATGCATTTTTGGGTTTAACACCAAAAGCTAAAGCAACAAAACCAAAACCAAAACAAGGATCATATCAAACTAAAAAACTTCTGCACAGCAAAGGAAATCAACCATAAAATGAAAAGGCAACCTACTGAAGGGAAAACATACTGGCAAAACATGTATCTGATAAAGAGTAGATAACCAAAATATACAAAGAACTCAAATTTTGAATAGCTCCTCACAATCCCAGTACAGTTCTTTCTGCCCAAGTGTCCTATCACTGTGCTTTAATAAAACCATCTTTTGGCACCTCCCTCCACAAAAAAAAAAGGAAAAGAAAAAAAGGAACTCATAAAACTCAATAGCAAAAAACTACAATCAGATTACAAAATAGGCAGAGGATCTGAATAGACATTTTTCCAGAGAAGATACACAAATGGCCAGCAGACACATGAAAAAAGGCTCAACATCACATTTGGAAAAATGGAAATCAAAACCACGAGAGATCACCATGTACCTATCAGAACAGTATCAAAAAGACAAGAATCAACAGGTGTTGGCGAGGATGTGGAAAAAAGAATCCTCATGCACTGTTGGTGGAATAACACAAACTGGGGCAATTTATAGGAATATACATTGCTGTACTGTGGAAAAAAGTATGGAGGTTCCTCAAAAAATTAAAATTAGAAGTACCACATGGTCCAGCAATTCCACTTCTGGGTATCCAAGATAAATGAATACACTAACTCAAAAAGGTATCTGCACCTCCAAGTCCACTGGCAACATTATATACAATAGCCAAGACATGGAAACAACATAACTGCCTATCAATGAATAGACAGATAAAGAAATTCTGGTATATAATAAACACAATGGAAAATTATTCAGCCGTAAGTAAGAAGGCAATCCTGTCATTTGCAACAACATAATGGGACCCTGAAGGCATTCTATTAAAGTGAAATAAAATCACACAAAGACAAATACCACATAACATCAATTACATGCGAGATCTTAAAGAAACAAACAGATAGAAAGATTGGTGGTTGCCAGAGGGAGGAGTGGGGAGTGGACAAAATGAGTGAAGGTGATCAAAAGGTACAAACATGCATTTAGAAAAATAAATGAGTCATGGGGATGTAACATTCAGCATGGTAACTATAGTTAATATTACCATATTATATATTTATTTAAAAGTTGCTCAAAGTATAAATGTTAAAAGTTCTCTTCAGAAAAACAAATTGTGGTGTTGAATGTTAATCAGACTTACTGTAATGATTTTACAATATATTATATATTGAATCATTATGTTCTACACCTAAAATGAAGACAGTGTTATATGCCAACTAAACCTTAGTTTTTAAAAAAATCCAACATTCAAAATCAAGCAATTTAATCCACTGAACATAATGTTTTAAGTTTCTTCCATGATTTATTACTTAATGGTAAAAGTTTTCAAAAATTAGGGAATAAAATTTTTGAAGTGGTGGTGGGAGTGTGGGCATGCAGAACAGAACCCTAACACCCAAGGGGTTCCCCTTCCTCCCAACCAGCCAACTGGCACTGCTGACAAGAAGCAAAAGCCAGCAAAGAAGCAGAATTGTCACCTCCTGATGGAATGCTGCAGCTGGGAGACTGTGGAAAGAGGATGTGTCTACTTGCCCGACCTGACACCAAGCAAAACCAAGACAAGAGGAGATGCCATCCCCACCCTCCACCAGAATGGCTCCTGCAAACACAGCAAGATGCTTTGTTAACTTTTCCCACCCTCTACTAAGTGATCCCAAGCACAGAGTGGGGAAAATCAGGGAGAAGGAACCTAGAAAGGGATCCTTTACATCTGTGTATGAAGTCCTGAGATCACTACTGAGTGGCCCTCACACAAAACTGACCAGAAACAATGAAGCAAAAATACCAAGAACTGAAATACACAGCAGAATACTGCCCAGAATTCAGAGTGGCCTCAGGGCCGTATAGGAGAGGGGCAAACCACAATAGCCCATAAACTATAACAGCCCTTAAACTATCGACCATAAGAGTGAGCCAGGATGTGGGTCTGAATAAAACTGTGTTGACAAGGACAACTGCAAAAATGGCAAAGTAGAGACTGTGAGGACAGTCCTTCCCCAGTAACACCAAAAATCCCCACATACCGGTCAGAATCACACTTATGGGAAATTGGGAAGACAGTAAAATGTTTATAGCAACGCAGCACACACACATAACCAGAAGGAAAGGCTGTAGTGTTCTAGCTTATGCTAACCATGTCTACAACCCAAGCATCCTGCTTTCTCTGTGGAACCTCATCTTGGCCACAGCACACTGGACTTTGTTCCCAAAAAACTGTGTTTTTTTGTGTTCCCACAATTGAGTTCTGTTTGTTTGGATTGGTCTGTAGGGTCCCTGAAGACTAATGGAAGGGGCCTGACAATTCTCCACATAACTCATAACTTTCCTCAACACATAACCTTGCAGAGGATATGTCTTAAAGATACTGAGAGTCAAATGAAGAAGCCAGTGCCAACTGGCACAAAATAACAATAAGAGAAACAACAGACACGCTGAAAGCCAAGGGAGGAAATGGTGTAGAGTGAGAATCTTTAGAAAATAAGGAATAAGGAGGAACTGGAAAATCACACGAATATACAGGGCAGGAAGTATACTCAGGAAAGACCTGAGACAACCACACACTTTCATGTCTGGCTGGTCTTTAAGCTCAAGACAAACAGGGAATCAAGGCAAAGGCAGAGTGTGGAAAGGCCTCACTAAGTGCAAAAGCAATGTCCCAACACACAGCCAGAATGCAGAGACCAGAGAGAAAATATTTTTGCTTTTGGTTTTTTCGTGTGTGTGAATATTCAAAATGTCCACATTCAACAACCACAAAAAAATTTAAGCTTGCAATAAAATGACACAGCTACAAGAAGAAAAAAAAGTTAAAAGAAACTGTCCTCGAGGAAACACGAACAAATGGAACTACTACACAGACTTTATTATTATTATTAAAGATTTTATTTATTCATAAGAGACACACAGAGAGAGAGGCAGAGGGAGAAGCAGGCTCCATGCAGGGAGCCAGATGTGGGACTCGATCCAGAGACTCCAGGATCACTCCCTGGGCCGAAGGCAGGCACTAAACTGCTGAGCCACCCAGGCATCCCACTACACAGACTTTAAATCAATATGTCCTCAATATGTTCACAGAACTCAAGGAAACCAACAGAATAATATGTATGACAAGGAATATTAATTAAGAGACATTAGAAAAAGGAACCAAAAATCTTAGAGCCAAAAATTGCCAAAAATGATATGAAAAATTCACTAAAGGGTTGGACGTATTTCAGCAGAGAATCCTCAGAATGACAAGATGCAACTCATCAGATAAGGAATCATGAGTAAAATTAATTGCTGATTTATCATCAACAACCATGAAGGACAG